AATATAGATTTAATTAAATGCTAATTGCTTATTAATTTTATTTTAAATGAGTTGATAATTAATATTCATTGCTTTCATTTAGAAAACTTGAAATTCAACGACGATTTTGTGCATCAAAATATACTCGGATCGTATGGGCGAACCTCCTGCTGCGTCATGTACAATTTTGAATTTGACGACTGTTACCGAGATTTTACAAAAATCGGTCTTCATTCGGCTCCGCCTGCTGACAGTGCTATTTTTTTGTGCCTAATTTTGAAGATTCCAGATCAACATTAGTCAATGTTATCTTACAGAAACATCAACTTGTATTATCATAACTATATGATATTACAAAGCAAGTGATTTAATTAAAAATTTGATCAGAACATTAAAAGCTACAAGCGATAAAGCGAAATTGGAAACGAAGCCGAACTTTGAAAAAGGGTCAGCAATGTTGTCATATTTATTTTTAGCCACGGAGGCTGCCTGACCTACAATTTTGACGTGAGCGTCGGGAATAATTGTCAGGTCTGGGAACCAGACTAGGGCCTGTAGCGTGGGCTGGGCCTAGGATCGATCCAGAACTCGCATGTCCTAACAGAATTACAAGTGATAAACGCCAACGCACGTGACACTTTGCACACAAGAAAATCTGGTAAAAACGAACTTGGAAAAAAAAATTGTAAAAACGAACTTGGGAAAAATACATCTCATAAAAACGAACTTCGACAAAATATATCTCATAAAAACGAACTTGGGAAAAATATATCTCACAAAAACGAACTTCGACAAAATATATCTCGTAAAAACGAACTTGGGGGAAAATATATCTTATATATATAAGGTTTCTTGTCTACGAAAGCCCATTAGCGCCACTGCAAGTATAAATGTTGCGGATTTTTTAATTCGTTATTACGGATTACTAATTCGTTATTACGGATTATTAATTCGTTATTACGGATTATTAATTCGTTATAACGGATTATTAATTCGTTATTACGGATTATTTAATTCGTTATTACGGATTATTAATTCGTTATTACGGATTATTATTTCGTTATAACGGATTATTAATTCGTTATTACGGATTATTTAATTCGTTATTACGGATTTTTAATTCATTATTACGGATTATTTAATTCGTTATTACGAATTATTTAATTCGTTATTACGGATTATTAATTCGTTATTACGGATTATTTAATTCGTTATGCAAAGATATAGCGCCGCAAGGTATACATAGGCCCCGGTCACGTGCTCTCCACGCGTGAGAATATCAGACTTAATTCGTAATAACGAATTAATAATCCGTAATAACGAATTAAATAATCCGTAATAACGAATTAATAATCCGTAATAACGAATTAAATAATCCGTAATAACGAATTTATAATCCGTAATAACGAATTACATAATCTGTAACATATATACATACGTACGAAAGCCCATTAGCGCCACTGCAAGTATATATGTTACAGATTGTGTAATTCGTTATTACGGATTATTAATTCGTTATTACGGATTATTAATTCGTTATAACGGATTATTTAATTCGTTATTACGGATTATTAATTCGTTATTACGGATTATTTAATTCGTTATTACGGATTATTAATTCGTTATTACGAATTAGGTCTGATGTTCTCACACGTGGAGAGCACGTGACCAGGGGCCTGTGTATATAGTGCCGCTAGGTGGTGCTATCTTTGCATACAACGTTTGCACTCCTGTGCCATACTTGCCGAGTAATGACTCAGAACGTATGAGTAATTCGTATTAATAATCCGTAATAACGAATTAATAATCCGTAATAACGAATTAAATAATCCGTTATAACGAATTAGTAATCCGTAATAACGAATTAAATAATCCGTAATAACGAATTAGTAATCCGTAATAACGAATTAGAAATCCGTAATAACGAATTAATAATCCGTAATAACGAATTAAATAATCCGTTATAACGAATTAGTAATCCGTAATAACGAATTAGTAATCCGTAATAACGAATTAATAATCCGTAATAACGAATTAAATAATCCGTTATAACGAATTAGTAATCCGTAATAACGAATTAAATAATCCGTAATAACGAATTAAAAATCCGTAATAACGATTTAATAATCCGTAATAACGAATTAAATAATCCGTTATAACGAATTAGTAATCCGTAATAACGAATTAAATAATCCGTAATAACGAATTAATAATCCGTAATAACGAATTAGTAATCCGTAATAACGAATTAATAATCCGTAATAACGAATTAAATAATCCGCAACATATATACTTGCAGTGGCGCTAATGGGCTTTCGTACTTTCGTACTTTCGTATACTCATTTTTTGAAGTTGGGTTTGCTCTTTTTTGAAACGCCCTGTATAAAGATCTCATCCCTTTTTTGCATGGATTCTGGATTTGTATCTCTTAATTCTGCTTTCTGCTGAATTCATCGCGGTTGATCTCCATTTAGGTTAGTGCACCAGGCTCAAGGTAGGCGCAGATTTGGCCGGATTTTCGGCCGCGTATTCAGCCTTGCTTTCACCGAAAGTCGAAAAATCTTTAAAACATGCGGCATAAGGTGATTTATTTTCCAACGATAACATTCATTCAACAAATTTTTCAAAATAAACTGCAAATAACAAGCAAATTTCAAGCCATGTCAAAACACACAACGTATAAGAGCCACAGTTTCATAAGCCATTTGGCAATCTTGATGTAGTAATTGCTGTTGAATAAGGAGCCTAATGGAAATCATCACCGTTTCTCATTTGTTGTCAATGCTCAGTTTAAAGATGTTGGAAAACGAATGCATAATTTGAAACAAGGACTTTATTATACTCCAGTCGGTGTCAAACATTTGCAATGTATTTCATAATCTACAATGTCATGTGCCTATGCACACTTCATTTGGGTATAGGCTTCAGCCGAACCCTAATTAGTGTATAATTAGCCCGTTAAAGTGACCCCATTTTCACTGCACTATTGGAATTCGTTCTTCTCGTCTGCGTATATCACTGAACCTCACATTGGCAGATAATTTGACAACATGTGAGGTGATGATGATGAGGATGAGGATGATGATGGTGATAATGAGGTTGGAGTCCCCCGTCGATGTCAGTGGATGGGTATTCAGTGACATCTGGGCCAAATTTCACGGCGCTGCTAAGCACAAAAATTTGAAGCACAAAAAAAGTCTGGCTATAAGAGCAGGTTATCAGCCAAAACTCCATGTGATTTTAATGCTAAGCAAACAACAGCTGAGTACTAATCACGAGCAATATACATCACGTGGAGTTTTGGTTGGTGCTTTTATAGTAGGTGAGACCTTTTTGTGCTAAGCTTCTTTTTTTTTTGATCAGCAACGCCGTAAAATTGGCCTCTGGTTTCCTCAGCTCACATGTTGGCAAATAATTTGACATCGGTACACTTTGTTTCAAAGGAACGTCAATAACTCATAATTTTATGTAATAATCTATGAGATTCTGTGCTTGGACACACTTAATTTTGGTATTGGCTTCAAAGCCGATGAAAGTGACTCCATTTTCACTGCATTATTGTAATGCGTTCATTTCTAAGTGGGTATAGTGCCCCTATAACTCATGTTATGTCATAATCTACGAGATCGTGTGCCTGAACACACGTAATTTTGGTATTAGCTTCAGCCGAACACTAATTAGTGCCTAATTAGCCCGTTGCGTTATAAAGTGATCACATTTTTACTGCACTATTGTAATGCGTCACTGTACACAGCCTCTTTAAAACAAAGTGTACCTCGCATGTTGTTAGTAACTCATAAATTGCATGTCGCAATCTAGAGATCGTATGCCTGGGCACACTTAATTTTGGTGGCTTCAGCCAAACACTAATTAGTGCCTAATTAGACCGTTCAAAGTGACCCATTTTCACTGCACTATTGTAATGTGTTCTTTTCGTCTGCGTATAATCACTACTCCTTTAAAACAAAGTGTACCTCACATGTTGTCAATAACTCATAATTTTATGTAATCATATCTGCGAGATCAAAGTGTGCCTCATGGACGTAACACACTTTATTTTGGTATACGCAGCAGATCAAAGTTGAGTGCATTACAATAGCGCAGTGAAAATGGGGTAATCGTTTCACGGGCTAATTAGGAACTAAATCAAGTGTGCCCAGGCACATGATCTCGTAGATTATTTTTTAAAAAATGAAAGTATGAGTTATTAATTGACAGCAATGTGAGGTACACTTTGTTTTAAAGGAGCAGTGATATACGCGAATGAAAAAAACAAAACAGACGAATTCCGATTGCAGTGAGAAAATGATAGGGTCACCCTAACGGCCAAATAGGTACTATTTGGTGTTTGGCTGAAGCCAATACCAAAATTAAGTATGCCTAGCCAGGCACTTGACGTTGTAGATTTTCACACGCATTGTGAGTTATTGGCAACATGTGAGGTACACTTTGTTTTAAAATGGGCAGTTATCATAGTGCAGCAGATATCAAGGCGTGAAACCGGGCCACTGAGTGTTCGGCTAAAGCCAATACCAAAATATAGTGTACCAAGGCACATCACCTATGCAATTGTGAATTGTTGACATCACGTGGAGTACACTTTGTTTTAAACGGATCATTCGCTTTCCAACATCTCTAAAAGCATTGAAAAATAACGCGAAATGTGATGAGTTCCATTAGGCAGCTAATTTAACAGTAATTATTGCATCAGGATTGCCAAATGGCTTATAAAACTAAAAACTGTGGCTCTTATGTTGTGTGTTTTGATAAAAAAAAATTGTTATTGTGTAATTAACCATAAAAAAACCCGTTGAATAAAATAATGAACTTGGAAGCTATATCACCTTTTGCCGCATGCATTAAAGACTCATCGACTTTTGGTAAATGTGCGGCTGAATACGCGGCCACAAATACGGCCGAATTAGCGGCTACCTTTAGCATTGGAGAAGCGCGCAACAAGCCAAATAATCGGTCTAGTATCCAGTCGCCTCTTATAGCGAATGCAAAGATTGAAATGGTCAACCAGACTAACGTCCCAACACACATAATCTTCGTTTGAATCAAGATGGCGGTCGAGGAACTTTTGAGAGAGCTGTTTTTCAACCCAATAAATCTCGTATTACTGTCCGTTTGTGGGTTTTTGGTGTACAAAATCTTTGTTGGGAGTAGAAGGAAGCCAGATCCACCGAGAGACCCACCACTCCCGAAAATGAAGAAGAGAGATTTCACCCTGCAAGAATTGAAAGAATACGACGGTACCGGCCCAGACAAACGAGTGCTAGTGGCTGTGAACGGCAAAGTTTTTGATGTATCACGGGGAAGGAGATTTTACGGACCAGGTATGACTACTATGAGAATCAAGAATGTTTTAATTGCTAAAAAATGACATTGTCAACCTAAAGCAGACTTCTCTCAATGTAATTACACCTTTTTGAGAATGTTTGAACAGTTTCTTGGGGTAGAAATTACGAATTTCCTACGCGGTTTACAGGCCGGTTGGCAGTGGCAGTGATTGTCCGAAAATTTGGGACTCTCAGTCTCAATAATACTGTGTAGAGTCCCAAAACTTAAGGTATTGAAAACATGCAAAACAAGAAAAAAAACTGGCACCTAAACTAAAACAACCAGTCCAACACAGCTTCAACAGTACTGCATCAATCAACCATGCCAAAACTTTAAGAAACATGTGGCATGAAGCGGGAACTACACATTTCTTCATAGTCAAGCCACCAGACTATTGACACTGACTGAAGAGGTCAGTCTTTTCAAATAGTTGGACCATGGTTGGACATGTACCTGTCTAGGATTTAGCCCCATTTGAAATCACTTGATTTCCCTCTCATGTGCAAAATATTGAAGAAAAGTCTCCTTTAAAAATTGAATTCAGTCTGCAAACTTGGTTGGTGAAAAATTGAGGATATTTTCTTTGCTCCAGTGGAATTTTTGGACAAATTTGCTGGCTAAACTGTGAGTAAAGTGGGCTTGATTTAATTTTGCACGTTTCAGAGCACTCCAGAGCCCTGTCTGTGGCAGTGCCGTACTGTGCAGGGTGACTTGCGTGCTCACGACACGGTAGCCCAACTTGTGTGGCATGTGGCCTCCTTATTGCTGCGCTGTACGTTAGGCCACACGTTAGCCCTGTCGCGCCCCAACTATCGCATCGGTCCCAACTATAGTTGGGCCTGTCCCAACTATAGTTGGGCCTGTCCCAACTGTAGTTCCACAGTTGGGCTGGCCCAACTATAGTTGGGCCTGTCCCAACTATAGTTGGGACGGTCCCAACTGTAAGTTCCACTGTTGGGCTGGCCCATCTATAGTTGGGCCACTCCGATCTTTTTATTTTGCGGTGTCCCAACTATAGTTGACATTGATGTACAACTGTAAAACGTTCCCTACAGCTCTGATACACGTCTGACTTTACTGGGGACCACTGAAATTAGTTATTGATGGGGCGAATCTATAGTTGGGCCACTCCAATCTTTTTATTTTGCGGTCCCAACTATAGTGTACATTGTTGTACGATTATAAAACATTCCCTACAACTCTAATACACATCTGACTTTACTTGGGACCAATGAAATTATCTATGGGTGGGGACCATCTGTAGTTGGGCCACCGCAATATTTTTATTTGGCAGTCCCAACTATAGTTTACATTGATGTACGACTATAAAACATTCCCTACAGCTCTGTTACATACTGTCCGACTTTACTTGGGACCTTTGACATTAGCTATGGGTGGGGCCCATCTATAGTTGGCCGGCCATGGCAATCTTTGAATTTTGCAAAATGTTGCTGGACAATAAAACCCAGCAGCAGCTGGACAACTCATCCAACTAGGCAGTACCACGTGACCGGCCAGCCTTGCGGCATGCATGCACGACGAATACACGGTGCCAGCGCCGCGGAACATTTAATCCAACAAGATCTATCAAGCATGAAGCATCCGGCGCAACTCCAGTCCTAACTATAGTTGGGCCGACCCAACTGCCGCACTATAGTTGGGATAGTCCCAACTATAGTTGGGACCGATGCGATAGTTGGGGCGTGACAGCCCCATAGATATGGCCAATTTACTGGACTACCTCCGTAAAACCACACTTCCACTAGTCCGAGTAAACTAGGACTCTACGGATCGCTTTTTTATCATTTGGACATGGTCGGGCGATACTATCGCCCGACCATGTCCAAATGTTAAAAAGCGATCCGTAGAGTCCTAGTTCCTCGGAATACACTTCCACAATGTGCAAAAACATGTCAAAGTTGTCAAATTTTGATTTTCACATTTAGGCTTAGTTTGTAGTTTATTTTGGCTTTAGAACTAAAACTCACCTTGCTCACCCTCTTTATAGGCTAATCAGAAAGTGCTGCCTTTTTCAGATGTCCATTTTTGTGTGATTTTTGTATTTTTTCCAGATTCGTTTGCACACATTTGCGTATCAAAATTTCAACATACAACTTCACGAAAATTAGACATCTGAAAAAGGTACCACTTTCTGATTAGCCTATAAAGAGGGTGATTATGCTTCCAAAGCAAAAAAAACCTACAAACTAAGCCTCATGTGAAAATCAAAAATTGACAAGGTTCTACATGTTTTTGTACATGGTGGAAGTGTGGCCTTTATTTACGCAGGTAGTCCAGTAAATTGGCCACATTTATGGGGCTAGCCACACATCTGGTTGGCACAATTGCAGAATACCCCGCCACTCTATCTATTATCTATCCACCTCGTAGCCGGCTACGGAGACACGGTTGATTGCCTTCAACAAACCTCAGTGCTACCTGCATGTACTAGGCCAACAAACGTCATGCTCCACTGAACTCGGTTGTGTTGCTTCATTCTCAAGGGGACCCCCACTCAGTATCCGCGTAGCTGGCAATGGACAGAAATTGTTTCTTTCCCAGTGATTCCAACCTTGTAACCAGAGATTTTAGGGGTGTATTTCCGAGTGGCGGTGTATTCTGCAATTACTTCATCTGGTTTCCCAACGTACTGAGGATTTAGTCCGAAAAGGGCGCATATGGACAGAAAGATGTCAAAATTTCTCAAAAAAATTTGAAGAAACATTACCTAATCTACCCGGAGGGCAAAAGATGAGACATCATAGAATACAACGGTATGCGGGGGTATGTAAAAAAAAATCCCCCAAAAAATGCTATTTCTAGCACATAATTTATAAAGCTACTTCTGATGTTCAAAAACTTATACAAAATATGTTGACTCTGAGTTGATGCTTGTTGAAGCCAGTTGAAACTTGGTGACGCATTTTAGTAGGACCCGTTCTAACTTATGAACTAAGACAGACTATTCCCTTATTGCAATGGGGCATATGGACGTAAATACAGAGCCTGGGTAGTACACATTCTGTCTGATATGAAAAATGGTAGAAAGGTTAAAGACATCTAAAAAGTTTTGATTTTTTAGCTATTGTATAGCTGTTTTAGCTATTATAATAATATTTGTGATTTGTGCACTGCTAGGTCCTCAACAGACAGGGATCTTCAGTGCAAAAGAAGCCGTGCAACACAAAATATGGCCAACTTTACTCATTCTTTAGCCAATAAAATTCTCTAAAATTTTCTTGAGAGAATGACAAGGTCCTGAGTATTTCACCAGCCAAGTTTGAAGGCTCAACTTTAATTTTAAAAGAGCCTTTTCTTTAACATTTTGCAACTGAGTGATTTCAATTGAAAACCTTAGACTAGATTGGTACATGTCCAACCTTTTGCATCCAAATTGACCAATCGACATCTTATTCCAGATTTCAGAATGAAATGCTGTTATGTCGTCCCCCCTTTGGCTGGCACACCCGGAGTTGCATAAATTTGCATGCTTAGATATCAGACGTTGGACCAGACACAGAAAGGGTTCCATTATGCAAGCAGCAAATATGTGAACAAATGCAGATCAGATAGGCAACCATTATAAAAGTACATGTATATCTGTAGCCAGCTAAAGGAATAACACACACTTGTTTAAGTCAACAGAGACTGAATAATCTGTCTGTGGTCAAGGTGTAAATCCAGTGGACTTTGTAACTTGTTGCAAATATGTTACCTGTACTCGCTGTTGGCTTGTGTGCATGTGCATGCCATGCATGAACCAAATCAAAGTGCCAATGTGTCTTTTTAATAATTTGGAAATACATGTATGTGAAAGGTTCAACCTTAAAGTACACGTACAACATGCATTGTACATGTATGAATAATGTCTTTCTATTTGAAGAGCTGTTAAAAAGTAATATGTCATATTCAAAACACAAAACAAAATCAGGTGCTATTTCGTGATCAAATTCCCAAATAGCTGAGACTCTTTTGAAACAATGAGTGTTACAATTAATAAAAATATATGATGCGATCAAGCTAAATGAGTCGTTTATCGACCCCGGTCAGAAATATTTTTATTACAGATTTGAAAAAAGCACAATCTCAGCATTACTGCTGTGAAAACCGCACGCTGATACTATCTTCACTTCAAAACTTATGGAAGTCAGAACACCAAGAGATGTGATTAAATAATTTAATGAGGTGGCCCTATTTGGCCTGTATCTCCAAATGAAAATTCCCGACAAACAATGCATGTAGCTTGATCGCATCACATATGTTAAAGTTAATTAAATATAAATTGTTCAACGCCCCCCCCCCCTCCTTAAAAATAGATAACTAAATAAGAAAAAATGTGCCATTAGTTTGGCATACCATTTGTTCCAATTGTTTTAGTATATCAGTGCAGTTCTAAGAAGTGTGAATGAGTAAACTTTCTGAAAAAAAATTATTTAGCTTTTATTCCATATTTTCTTTATTGTGATGTTTTTGACAGGGGGTCCGTATGGTGTTTTTGCTGGTCACGATGCTTCCCGTGCCTTGGCAACATTCTCTTTGGATAAGGATTCTTTCAAAGATGAATATGATGACCTTGCTGATCTAGACAAGGAATCTTTGGATGGCGTCCGGGAATGGGAAATGCAGTTCATGGGTAGGTTTCATATTAACTTTAATATGATATGAGAGCCCAATCGAATATAGATGCAGCAGGAAATATAACTGCAAATTTACAGCAAAGTAAATATCAATTGTGAACCAGCCACAAGATAGTTGTAGAATACAGGTAGTTGATAGTTGAGATATAGCATTAACTTCAACGTTGAGATATACGTGTAGCATTAACTTGAACATGATCTTTGTTTCTCAACTTTGTACAGAAGTGAACCCACACGTAAGCTTTTGAACCTTGGTTTTACATTTGCTCTTATCTTTCTTTCTCTAAATAAAATGAATTTCCTTCCCAGATGCTTATTAGTTTTTCATCTTGTGGAAATTGTTGCTCTATTCATATTTTTAATTGAATTGTTTGAGTACCCTCTTGTCATTCCCACAGAAAAATATGACTATGTCGGCAAGCTGTTGAAACCAGGGGAGGAGCCCACAGAATATTCAGATGACGAATCTGCTACAGATACAGAGAAGAAAGATAACTAGGCACAGTGTAATGTGGGAGAGCAACAACACACCACAATATGAGCAAGTAAATTAATTCAGTGAGCTTTCTTGGAATTTGGAATATTCTGTTCACTTTGTCAATATTCAACACCAAATTTTGAAGCATTCCATGTTTAAGAATCTTCGCAGCCCTGATATGCAGTCGGACTAAATTATACAACTTGTCATCCAAGTTTCAAGTTTCATGCATAGCTCTGTGTTCAAGGGATCCTGCATTCCCATTTATTCTCAGTAAAATGCATAGGTTAAGATATCTTTCTTTGACAATGCAGTAACTGTGCCTCATTAAGATATTTCATTTTTGGTGTACTACTTTGCAGTACAATTTTATCCTCGCCTTTACCAAAACAGAGCGTGTCTACCCAAGCAAGATAGTCTGCATATTCTAAAATATGAGTTATACGTAAGTGACTAATAAGGTATTTCGATTAAAAAGTAGTTTGCTCTGTAATTTTTATCACTGCATGTTGTGGTGTGTTGTACAGTGGACCACCTCAAGGACCAGTTGGATTAAAATACTGGTGCCAGTAAAAAGATCACACTATCATTACATGGTGGCTGTCTTATGCAGGAAGACAATTACTTTTTAAAAATATATAAGACACATACATGTACAACATGTACACATTAGGCCTTTTCGCACTAGAACAGCTTGTTGCTAGTGTCTAGGGGTTTCTTATCCATGTCTATGAAGCTACAACCCTGCTCTTTCACACGACAGTTCTTGCCACCAGAGAAGATGTCTGGCCCTGGAGACAACAATTTCAAGCCTGATCCTGAGCAGGGTTGAGCTCTCCCCGGGAGATAACAATCTCAGGGGTGGCTCAGGCTGAGAATTTAAAGTGTGATTCATGGCTTATATTAACCCCAGTGTCGCCCGGCGGCCCGGGGCCACTCCCAAGATTTTGTCTAGTGTGAAAAGGCCTTTAGCTGACTAGTGGCGTAAGCATTCAGCTAAACTTGTCATTCAGAAGAAATGAAAAATGAAGATTCAATCTCGTAAATAAATGATAGTCATTCTTAAAGTTGGAGCGTTATTCAATTGTTTTGTTTTCCTTACAATCGTGTTGGGTCTTTAAAAGACCAAAACCTCTATGTTTTGCACAATGCAAATCTTTCTCATGTTCTACACAATTTCACTTTTTAACCAACTGTATACGTGTGTACGTAGGATTTCCTCTTTTTCTTTCTTTCTTAAACACTCCTGTGGTCTGATTTCTGGACTTCCTTCAACTGTTTTTTTTAAAGCAATCCTAATACTTCTTTGATAATGACTCACAGCTTTTTTAAAGTCTAAACATGCACTTGTAGTGGGCAAACTTCCTTTTTAATTATTTGAATGCTGTTACGATGCCTGCTTTGACTATGTTTTGACAAAGTTTGCACATTTAGATGGCCATAATTAAAGATTTTTCTGTAATCAAGTAAGTTCAAAATCATTTAGTTTTTCATCAGTAAATTGCTGTTTTAATTTTATTTAACAAGACCATTGTTTCAGTGATAAGAAATAGACAAACCAAGCACGTTCATGTTTAAAGCAGGAATTCTAATTGATGACTATCTTAAAGCCATTGAGATGAACCCATATATCCATAGTCAAAAAAATCTTGCAGACTCTCACTTTCGAATGTATACATTTTATTTTGTTCTTTGCCTAATTTCAGGCAGTATAAACCTCAGATTTAGATAATATTCAGTTTTTTTGTTTTGTGTTTACATAACAGTAGTTAAGTTAACTCTCAAGAGGAGCTGATCTAGAATAGTCAAACTTCCAATTCCAATGGAGACAAACATTGTAAATTTGTAATGTGTTTCACTTCCAAAACTAATAATGTACATTTAGGATACATGTACTTGATCATCTGAAGTCAAAAACTGCGTGTACCATATGGCAAGCTGTTAAATTACTGTTACATGTACCTATTAACTGATATGTGCTTAATGAAATTAATTAATTTACAATGTTTGTAATTGTATGTGTATTCCAATAGAAATAGAAATTTTGTACATGGTATCTACCATGTCAACTCTGGTTTGCAAGTTGCTAGTAATGGGTGCGTTCGTTTAGCTCACCCGAAGTTTGCAAGATGTTAACTTCAGATTGCAGAAAATGTCAGTTGTGTACATGCTTTTCTTAAAATTTGCAGTTTTACAAATGCTTCTAATTTCCACAAACATTGTACAATGTACAGAATATACATAATCAGTCATTGATTATAAATGAGTATAAGTCTTGCGTATATTTCCAGAGAGGTGCCAATTGGGATTGGAGTACCTCAAAACTTGGAATGTTCCTGTGTCTTTAAGAATCCTTGATTTTGAACTTGGTATGATCTCAGAGTGTCAATACTGCCAACAGGTCCCACGATCAAATAAGTTCTATATATATTTGCTTATTGGAAATATTTGTGGTCTACATGTAAGTCTGCTCGCAGTGGACACATCAGTCATCCTTCCAATTAGAACATAATATTTCTAGCCCAATTTTCCAAATGTATTATGAGTTTTGAGACCGCCCATTAATAAGTTAACTAGCTGCTTGCATGCATGCGTTAGTTGCTAGGGATAATGATCTCATGGAATTGTTTGTGATGAACTTCACTTGTAAATGCGTTAAGCTATTGAAGTACAAAGTTGATGAAAAATAAAATCTTAAAAATCACTGTTTTTTAATGATAGTTTGGCATTAAGTAAATTTTCCAGCTGCCAGGAAATTTGGTTTAGATTGGAGAGCAGAATTTAACTTGGGATTTCTGCTGGAACACATTGTTGAAATAATCACATGACATCAATGGCAGTTTGTTGCTATTGATTCCTTTGTTCAGTTTTATTCTCTTCTTTCAACCCAACTTATCTCATGCACATTTCTAATCAACACATGGTAACAATTCTTCAGTACAAAATAAATAACTCCTAAATAAATAGGTACATGGGTAGATACTTGTTGTACATGTAAGTCCATTGATTTCATATACGTCGCTGGTGTTGTAAATCAGCTGGCTGTACTGCGGGTTGTTTAGAATATTGAATTTGGCTGTGGGATTTCCAATAAAATCAAAATAAACTAAACCCATTAATAATGCTTTGTTCATCTTTTGTTTTTATTTGTATGAAGTTAAATTTCACTTGGTAGGCTGCTTGTACTGAAAAGCTTACTGGCTTTGTAGCTATCTACAAATTTCTCAGAATGTTATTTTGATTCACCGCTTTTATTATACATGTGTGTTTGACATCTGACAATGCACCCCATAAATTAATATTAAAGAGCGCCCTCATCGATGACATATGTTAAGAGACGCTCCGCTGAAAAGAGTGTTATGATGGGGGAGGGCGCCCCTTGCGTTGGGTAGGTAAAAGCAGATGTAATGCACTCAACTTATACTTATAGTTCTAGTTGTGCAAAGCAGAAATGGGGGGTGGTATGGTAGTGAACAATTTTACCCAAATCTTTCCACTTTTCATCAAATGTTTTATTGTTTATGGCTAATTCTTAACATGATTTTTTAAAGTAAACAATATGTTTATTTGATTACTTATTAAATTAATTAATATCAATTATCATACCGTCAACAAATTGAAGGGCATCATACAAGCATTCCATTCATGTTATGAGCAATGGGTTTTTACTTGAAAAATGATTGTACATGTACATGTATTCTCAATTAATGATAAAAACAAAATGCTGGGTGGTTTTTTTTAGTGGTATTTAGGTGGAAAACTTGAAGCTGATTTCCATAAATTTGAACAACTTCAGGAAAGTTGTAGTCTTTTGAGGCATCATTCGCCGCTATAGAGTCCTTAATGGTGCTGATGATAGACAAGATATATTTTTCTCCGGACACATTTTTAAGAAGTGCGGGGTGGCCCGGGGGTTTGTACCATGTTCTCATGGGGGGGGGGGGGGCGCTGCTAATGTTCAAACAGGACGACTGACGATCATGGACACTATCTGACAGTAGGTGGCACTTTTCAAGTTGGGCGGCCCAAGTGCCGACGGTCGCGCGAAATTCCAAAAAGGGCACTCGCACTAAGACCACCGGTGAAAATGCAACTTTTTTTTAAAGAAAAGAAAACAGCACTTGTTAAACAAGTACGAGTGGGCAATAAGCTCTGGCGAAAAAAATGCGACACTGATGGCATATATGGAACACCATAATATTGGTCATTAATATCGCAGACAGTTCCTTGATACGTCCAAAAAATATGTCCTCAAGTTCTCTACGGTCCAACCACGACAAATGGCGTCCACCTTGTTCGAGGAAGATGTTCGCTCGTACACCCCCGCCCTGCAAACGCAGGACGCTGGGATACTAGCTCTGATGAGCTTCACAGAATCTTGTGAAGGAAGTGGCCTATGACCTATGTATAAAGCATCTGGCTGCAGCTGTTCAAGACCGCAGTTAGACAATGTGCGCAAATGCTATCTGAAAACTTCCCATAGAAATGCGCACATTCCATACCGGATGTGATTTCTGTTTCATTGCGGACCATGTGGACACAATTTTGAGCGTCGCATAATGCAATCCGACCGTTCGTGATTCGAAACGGAGCCTAAGCAAGTGACGGGAATTGTAAATTTACAACACAGATAAGTTTTACAGAATTTCCTACATTATTACGCTTTTCAACGAGAAAAAAATCTCTAAACTGGAATAAAATAGTAATGAATCAGTCTTAACGGCCGTTTTAACCCTTGCAGAGTCATGACCTTGATGACGCGCAGGCCACTGGTCACGCAGAATTCATCAGAGTATCCCAGCGTCCTGTTTGCAGGGCGGGGGTACTATACGAGCGAAGAGGAAGATGTTGGGCATTACAGCACGCGCACAAGTGCGAGTGCACATGAAACTATGGTCGTGTTGCAAGAAGTCTTACCATACTCCCAAGGAGGACAGAAAAAAAGTGCTAGAGCACAATAAGCTCTCCCTGCCATGGGTTAACATGAAATCGACCAAAATGATCCCTGTCAGGAGCTGACAAATTCCACGCCGAAAAATGCGACGTCGATGGCACATAATGGAACACCATACCTTTGGTCAATTTTCCGGAGACAGACCGACAGACAGACCGACAACAAAGCTCCTGCCAGAGCTTAATAAGGGGCGCTTGTTATAACAAAAAGACACTCTTTACAAAAAAAATGGCACTAAAATAAAAAATAATTCATATTTTTTTAAAAACGTTTTTTTTTATATTTACATTACAAACGCCGTTCATCTAAAAAAAAAAAATTCATAAATTCTAGCGAGCTTCTCTATTATGACCTCTAAGCACTTTCTTCCAGTTTCACATTTTTCAGCGAAACCAAAGATTACTAGAGAGGGCCTCCTAGGCCGGGAAGAAAGCAGTCCGCGGCTTAATTATGCTCAAAGGTCACGATGGGGAAGGGGGCCTCACGAGGAAGGTAAAAAGCAGAAATTATGAATTTTTTTAATGTACAGCGTTTTTAATGTACGTTAAAGCTTTAAAAAAAATAAGGAAGGCTATTGTATTAACTAAGTGTTAAATTAATTAATTGTTATTTAAAAGTATTTTTTTTTTAGAAATTATGCATTTTTTTAAGTATACGGCGCTTGTAATGTAATATTAAGCATTTTAAAAATAATTATTATAATTATTAAAATAATTATTATAACGTCAAAACTTGAAATATTCTATTTACGTTATGGGCAGCGGGTTGTAACGGGAAATGATTTATTCATATTTGATAATACAAATAAAATGATAAGCCGGTTTTTTAAGGCAAAAAGGCTTGAAGCTGATGTCCATATTTGAACAAATTCAGGAAAGCTGTAGATTTTTCAATCAACCTCCGCTACAGTCCTTTATTGACAAAGTTGCTCGGTCTCGCCCCGCCCCCGGCCGCCCCCCCCCCCCCCCAATATTGATAAGCAAATCTCAACGTACTTATTTTCATTGACATTGTTTTATTTCCCCTTTTTATTCATTTATTCGTTCATTCATTTATTCTTTTATTTATTTTAATTGATTTCTCGGTGTATGAGTCTTTTTAAAGTTGTTTTCTTCAATGAAAATCTCAGTCGCATTTTTACACCTAATTCACGCGTTAATTCACCTTGGAGTCATGCGCGTTTACCTACCTGCCGTAAGCGGCGCCCTTTCCATAACCGCCAAATTTGATGACATCTCGTGTTTCACAGGTCACCGTACAAATAGATACCCAGTGTCCTATTTTCCATGGCCCTGTCGCGCCTAGCTAGCTAATCGACGGCAGACTAGACGTGTACGGCATGTACGGTGTAGTGGTTGCATCTCGTCCATATTTTTCGTCAAGATTATTCTGATCCGTCGTGTCGGGAAGTTGTTCATCTGTATTATTGTCATTACAATCAAGTTAAAAAAACTCTACAAGAATGCCAGAGCGTAAGTAAAATAATAAATGAAAGTAACAACAGTACAGGATTTGGACAGAATGTTGCAACCTGACGCTACCTCGGCGGTTGTGTACAAAGTATTACTGTGCACGATGGACATGATGGAGAGTCCAGAAAATGTTCTAAGTACAGTCGTTTTCCTAGGAAAACGACTGTACTTAGAAAATGTTCTAAGTACAGTCGTTTTCCTCGTTTTCCTAGGAAAACGACTGTACTTAGACAATTTTCTGGACTCTCCATAGTGCACAGTGATAGTCCTAGTTCTGGATTTTTCCTAGTTCCAGATCGCTTCAAATAAAAACCCACCTCTTTTGGATTAGTGCCTATAAAAAAAATTATGACATTGACGGAGTGCATTTTGAAAAGGAATATATTGCATATGTAAGCTTCTTGATACCCAAAGATCTTTTCGAAACAATCTTTAGAAATGGAATTTTGGCCAGATTTCCGACGCGCACTTTGACATGTTTGGACGGTTTAAAGAAAATCACAGTAGCTGCGAATCGACGATAAATTTTCTCCTCGGTATATCTCTCGTACCGTGTGGTTTCGAATGAATGTCGGACACTTCGCCCCATTTCCACGTCGCCCCGTGTCACTTCGCCCCTAACCACTTCGCCCCATCCCCACTTCGCCCCATTTTCACATCGCCCCATCCCCACTTCGCCCCATTCCCACTTCGCCCCATTCCCACTTCGCCCCATCCCCACTTCGCCCCATCCCCACTTCGCCCCAGCCGTTACATGTAAAAAAAAAAAAAATTCTCATCTATTTTTTTGGCTTAAAAAAAACAATTTCAATAGATTCACTAATTGCTAACCAACGGAAAGAATTAGCCCATCACCAAATGAACAATTCATAACCAACCTCTCAAGCTAGGCTCTCCCCTACCGAGAAGCTTGAAGTAAAAGACCCAACTTTGTTCCCAACCCCGGCGGCTATACCAACCCGTCTCCCACTTATCTGAGAACGACAATACCTTTGACCATGGAGGAATAAGAACACCCTAATTTCACTCTTGGAGGAACCAATCTCATCAATGAAGTTGTAAGTGTCACATATCAGACAAATTTTGACGGAACATTTTCCTCAAGGCAGTGAGTTCCTTTTAACTCACTGACCCATACCTACATGTACGGGATTCTTTTGAATCCAGCGGCTGATGATTGTATTCACAAGCCAATAGGAGAGGCGTCTCTGAATGGGATAGAGCCATCATTTCTCTCATCTGTGTCTCGAGCACCTCATCAGAGCGTTTGTATTTTTCCTGAGTTTCTAGAATTGGGAGCATTTATTATCTGGGGTCTTTGGCAGTTTATTTGGTCTGCACCCCTAGCCTTCACCTTTTTCATACTACATGGGGCGAAGTGGGGATGGGGCGAAGTGGGGATGGGGCGAAGTGGGGATGGGGCGAAGTGGGGATGGGGCGAGGCGGAGATGGGGCGATGTGGGGATGGGGCGAAGTGGGGATGGGGCGAAGTGGTTAGGGGCGAAGTGACATGGGGCGACGTGGAAATGGGGCGAAGCGTCCGACACCCGTTTCGAATATATTTTTCATTCACTACAATCATATAAACTCTCCCATCGAATGTTAGTTCAATCAAAATAAGTTGTAGAGTCTCTAATATTTGAAAATTTACAAACGAATGACCGTATGCTTTTGCCTAGTTCCGGATCGCGCGCGCACTTACGACCCAACTACACGAGCGTTAATCAATTTTGTGTGACGTGTTCTGTGCCGTGTGCAAGGTTTTTGGACTGCGTGAGTTTGTGCCGTTGCACTGCAGGCAAAAGTTTCAAAATATTTACTTTGATTCTCTTTTGAAAATTTGCTGGAATTCTCTTGAATGAACTATTTTTGGAAAATTAATAACTTGAAAATTTACTTTATCAGAAAATGTGCTTGATTTGGGGTGGTTCTGGCTGAAAAATTGATTTTCTCGCATGATTTTTTTTTTGCGCGAATCAGTTTTTGAATTTGATTGATTTGGAACTGATTGAACCGATCCGGAACTAGGAAAAGCGGCATCGGTACTTTTGACGTCATAAAGTCACAATAAAAAGAGCTTAAATTTTGAAAATTATTTTGTAGTATCTCCATCATTCAAGGTAAACTTTTAAACCAATGTCACTTGAATTCGTGGAGTAGTTGAGCCGAAAGTAGCCTGAATGATGTTTGCTATCCGGAACTAGGAAAACGACTGTAGGCCCATTCTTAACAAAATTGGAAATCTTTCTTAGTCCCAGATTCATGTCTTATCATCATTTTTGCAGTGAATAACCTTCACTGAGATGATGCATGAAGAAAAAAGCAGCGTCAGGTTGTAAAAAATTTTCCATCTGCTACTGCATGCTGTCTACTTTTTCAAAGCCTTTCATTTTTTCAATATCTTGTATAGGCAATGATAGAGGGAAAATGGATAGCTGGAGTTACCTCAGCCCTACTTCTGGAATCAGAAGGCTGCTACTAGCGGTAGCAGCCTTTTTCTGATTCCAGAAGTAGTAAAAGTACCGGAAAGAAGGCACAATTGCAGAATACCCTGCCACTCGATCTATGCACCTCGTAGCCGGCTACGGAGTCACGGTTGATTGCCCTCAATAAACCTTCTCAGCGCTACATGTATGTACTAATGCGTCATGCTCCACTGCACTCCCACTCCGTATCACATAGCCGGCAACAGGGTAGTTGGTTTGGACTTATAAAAAATTCAGCAACTCCCATTCATTTTGTGTTGCTTCATTCTCAAGGAGACCCCCACTCAGTATCCCTGTAGCTTGAATTGTTTCTTTTCAAGTTATTCCAACCTCGTAGCCAGAGAAATAAGGGGTGTATTTCGGAGTGGCGGGGTATTCTGCAATTACTCCGGAAAGAATGTTGCAATTTGACGCCACTTCAGCGGTTGTGTACAAAGTCTATGGATGGTCAAGACAATTTTTCAAGTATTCCCTAACAAAACTGGAAATTTTTCTCAGTCCCGGATTCGTGTCTTATCATCATTTTTGCAAAGACTGACCTTCATTGAGATGATGAAAAAAGCAGCGTCACGTTGCAACATTCTTTCCAAAGTACCTCGGCCCTATAATTTTATCATTGGGTTGTGACAACCCAATGATAAAATATACATGTAAGGCTGAGCCTGAGGTAACTCCAGCTAGAAAATGGACCATTTTGGAATACACTGGGGGATATGCGGTCCCGGATTTCGGGCTTTAAACGATCTACTTTTTTAACATAGTTGTGCCTCCAGCTCTTAATGCGATAAGCATTGGAGCTGGCGTTACTCAAGCTATGTAGGCCTACCTTGGAACTATGTAAAATGACCTATCACCATTTGTGAGTTCGCCACGCCCCAGTTAGACAACCCTATGTAGTTTGTGTACACTAAGTTTTGTTTGTCTCAGCTTTTGTGCGTTCCGCATCCCGCTTCCATGGTATATCATGCAATTGGACAATAATTCACAAGCTGCATTGACACGATTCTACCACGATAGGTCAATAGCCCCTGGTCTCGGTATTGCTATGCTAAGCCTCTAGCCACGCGCCAGGTTCCCCAACCTACATGTACTGAGGAGTTTGTCAAACAAAAAGGTGCAAATTGTTTCACATGCGGTTGTATTCTATGATATCTCAGCTTCTTTCCTCCGGGTTGTTTAGTTGTCCTTGTTTTTTATCTCCAAATTTTTGAGAGAAATATTGGCATCTTTCTGGAGTTCATATCTGCATGCAAAAAAGGTCTGTGGGTGGCAGTCATTTTGAAAACTGAATGTAAGAAGTGTGATCCCAAAGCTGTGACGACGCGTTTATGCAATCAATCTTGTCGATCTGGTACGCAAGTAAAATGGAGTCGCCCAGCCTGAATGTTTGCGCGCTATTAATCTGTTGAGAAATTGCACAAGAAGCAGACGTCGCATTGCAACTTGCGCACCGGATCAACAAGATCAGTTGCATAAAGGTGATAACACAGCTTTAAGGGTCACGCATCTTACATTAAAAATGGCTGCCATCCACAAACGTTTTTCTTTTAAGTACAAGCCTTGCTGGGGGTGTGATAGGAAAATCTTATCCTCGTGTCGGCATGTGTTTGCCAAATTACAATCAAACCTGTCACCATAAAACAGTTTTGATAGGCATGCTAGACAAATGATGATTCAGGCTTCATAATTAAACTGCAGTCCTGTTTTGTTTTCTCCAAATAAAGGATTTCAATGGTAAATAATTTATGACTTTTGACTTTATTAGGAGACAAAGATGAACCATTCTCCAACCCATTGCCACCTGCAGACATCCGACGTATGTCAGAGGAATCAGACGCATCGTAAGTCACCAATCTATCCTCATTGGATATTTTTATGTGGAATCTTACCTCACACCTCCATCTGAGGATTAGGTATCAGTTAGTAAACCTTTGGCCAAAGACAGCGTTGGTTTCTTGTGGAACCACTACACCTCATGTTGTGGTATGTCCTCGATGGTGTTTCTGCAAATTGATTATTTACATCTTGGGAGCAAAAGAGCTTGTTAGGTTCATTGACAGTGGAAGTTTGCACAGATAGTTTTGAGTTGACTACTTTGCACATGCCAGGTATGCCCACTTGACTTTCATTGGAAGGTCACAACGTGCTGTCAACAATTATTGCATAAAGCCTACAGCTGTGCTGTCCAAGTTCTTTTTATCTCATGTTTCATTCTGTCCGATGACTGTATTAACAAAGCCTTGTTTCATTTTAAACCCTACTTAATCAGCTTGACACACATGACCAATGCTGACTTCAGGAAGTTGTTGATGACTCCTAGAGCTACCCCAGGGGAAGCACCACCTTCTAAAGTCAAACATGACAAGGAGTAAGTTCCACCATCGAGTCATTGTATCTAGAAATTGTTGAAGTTTCTCTAAGGGAAAAACCAGTTATTAGTTTCGGGCCAAACGTTTCATTGCTATATTTATCTTACTAGTGCAGTGCCCGTTGAACATGTGCCAGTTTGGAATGGCAAATGGCTTGGCAGCATAGAGTACAGTACCCACAGCTCACCGTATCTACACCTGAACATTGTGCGATCATTACGCGATCTTCCCCTTCAAGAAATCATCAATAGCCAACTACCATTTCCATGTTTTAACCCGTACCCGGTTTAGAGTGCAGTGTCCTGTGCAGCAGTGTGTGGCGCGGTCTGTATATACGTTTGTATGGTCGAGGCTTCTGGTATTGCTGCTTTTTTGCAGCTTTTTTAAGAAACGCTGATCTAAACAACTTCAAACTTGACACTGCGCATTCTGGGGTGCTGAGCAATACACCCGCCGATTTTCAACTTCATACAGTGCCCGGTTCTGGAGATCATCGAAATACAGACAGACAGATGGACAATCAGAGATTTATGGAATTACAGCTAGGTAAATAAATCCAAGTATAGAACCACTCAAAAGCTGACAGTTTACATAACAGCAATGATCATTAAAGTTCGGAGTTTTGTCATTTTTTGTTTAGATTACCAAGAGATTACAATGAAGCTGATGATCCCAGAGCATTGCGTCGGAAGAAGAAAAGTTTCTATGCTAAACTCAAGAAACAAGAAATGGAGAGGGAAGCAGAGTTGGCCAAGAAATACAGAAACAGGGTGAGAAAAACATGTCTAAGTTGAATATGTCGAAAGTTATCTTTTTTTGTAGTATGTATTGACTCTACAGAAGAAATAACGTATGCTGTATTCAAAGATTGATCTCCTTATTTCTTCTCACCATCAGGCCCAAGAACGACGTGAGGGCAAGAATGATTATGAAGATACCGAAGTAGTCAGCACCACGGCCAACTACCGAGCAGTAGCTCCAGATGCACAGGCGTAAGTAGGAATGGGAGGGGGAGGGGTATTTACATTCATACTTTTATACATAAATACTGTTTGGTAAACACAACATGTTACCAATAGATGGTATTAAAAAAATGCCATACATTACGATACATTCCCTTTTTCAAAGTAAAATGGAAACTGAAGATAAAATACAGGGTTCTCAACTTTAAGTGCAGTAGAAACTCTAAAAGAGCAACAGTATATTGTAAACAAATAATGAAATAAATTCTTATAATCTTAAAATCTGTCGATAAAAGATTTTGGGATTTTTCCTCATTCCCCCCCCCCCCCCCCCCAAAAAAAAGTAGGTAGGGGCTGTCAAAATTAGGTAGGTAACGGTAACCGGAAGCAGAACTATAATTTGTTTGGCTTTGTTCATCATTTGTGTGTATAAATTGGCAGACATTACATATCATGCTAATGTTGAAACGTGTTCAGTTAGCAACATTAAACTTGGAAACTGTTTGTCAAATGTGCGTTCCTTTCTCCTGTAGAATGTAGGTTTTGAGTTCTACTGATTTTTAAATTTTGTTGTAATTTCAGGGGAGACACAGCTTCAAACCGCCGAAAACAGCTGATCGAAGAAAGTAAATACCTGGGAGGTGACATGGAACATACTCATTTGGTGAAAGGTCTGGACTATGCATTGCTGCATAAGGTAAGTCTGTAACTGATACACTTATAGTGTGGTTAAACGTTGAGTAGATCTTTTGCAGATATCCAAAAAGTAACTGACAAAATTATTGTTTAAAAGCTTACTTGGTTTACACAGGGTGTTGAGTGTCATTACTATCTTTAGTAAAAATAGTAATGACACTAAACACCCTGTGAAATTATCTTTCTGGCATGCTGTCATTTTGAAAAAAACATTAAAAGAAGGTCATTTTCAAAGATGCGTCTAAAGACGAATTTTTGGAAAGTTCCGTTAGTAGATTGTAGTTTAATTTGGCCAAGCCGTGAATGGATGCGTGCAAGTTTTGACACAATGCACACTTGCACATGGTTGCTATAATTTGTTGATTCAGTATGTGACATGGCACAGCTGCAATCGATGGAATGAGAATGTGCAAAAGACTAATCACATTTAAAACTACAGGACGAAAGGACAATCAAATAGAAATGTCTCTCCATGACAAAATTTATGCTGGAAAAATTACTTACATGTTGGTTGAGCATCAAAGTGATCTAGGTCATCTGCCAGTCATTATGTAGACTTCGTCCTCATCGATGATCAATCATAAAAGGTTAGATCATCAGATGCTTATTTTATTTTCGTTTTGTACATTTTACATTTTTCCACATGTAACATTTTGTATTGGATAATGTGAAATTTGGATACAAGGAACATTTTGATCAGGTCCCATGGATTTTGTAATAACGGGAGCCTACTGTCTGTTGAAGTTGAGATGATTATTCTTGTAGGTGCGAGCTGAGATAACAACCAAGGAGAAGGAAAGAGAAGACATTATGGAGAGTAGCTATCAGAACTCAAGCAAGAACCAGAAAGTTGTGTAAGTTCCTTTTCATTCCAGTCTCAAATCTTCTGCCTGAATTCCTACATCTGCAAAAGGTTGGGTTCTTGTCACTTAATTGGTGTCATTCATATTTTACGTCCTATTTGAGTATATGCATAAAACACTCATAATTTCATTCTGGAAGATGCAAAGTTTATTGCTTTTAAAGAAAGGAAGTGTCTGTAAGTTTTGATGATTAAATCATTTATTACAGAAATGTCTGTAATGACAAGTGTGCAAGTGACCTATTTTTTTATTTAATCAATAACATTTATTTCAGTGAACCTGAAGAAAGTATGCAGTTCAAGACCAAAATTGGTAAGTTTTTTTTGTTTACATTTAAAACTGCAAAGGAAATACATGCACCATGAACTGAATGTGCACAGACACCAAGCCTCTTGTGATGAGTAGAGTACAATCAAAAATTGTTACACGTCAGAAGTTATCCCCAGTGAATTCCAGTAACTGTAATGGCGTGCCTTTATACTGATTTTTACTGATGAGGGCATAGTTGTTATCAAACTCAGCAGACCATTGTCTAATGGCATAAATCTTTACTTTCTTGACAGCACGGAACATCTATCGTACTTTGTTTAAGACCAAGTTACCTGAGCGTAATGAGCTGTTTCTACCAGGTCGAATGGCTTACAAGGTAGAACTTGAGGATGAATATTTGGAGAGTGATATACCAACAACAGTCATCAGAAGCAAAGCAGACTGTCCTACAATGGAGGTGAGTTGACTTGGCACCATTACTTTGGGATGTATTGCAGTCTCTGCGCATTCAGATAAATGTTTAAGTTGAAGTTGTGAATCACAAAGACTGGAACTTGTGCCCAAAAATTAAGTTCAACTTTAAGATTCTTATTTTGTTGCCATGCTGCATGGTACAAAATTGCATGTCAAGAAAATTCAGGAACATATAAAAAAACATGTCAAATTGAAGGGAACAAATATACAATACCGATAAATAGAGAATCTAGCATTTAGATAGTGTTTCTGCTTTGTTTCAGTCTCAAACCACACTCACCACCAATGACATCGTGATTAACAAACTGACTCAGATTTTGTCTTATCTAAGACAAGGTCAGAGAGGCAAGAAACTCAAGAAGAAAGACAAAGGTAAGATAGTGGTCAAGTATGGGCAGACACAAAGTGATAGATAGTTCCTCTTCAGTTGCAAATGAATCTTCAAATAAACTAGAGAGAAAAGTTTCAAGGAACTTGCTATAAATCAAGGTATGATTTTAAGAACCTCCATTTTCTGGAATATCGCACTGGTGCTTTGTGAATTGAGCTATCCAGCTCCTAAGAAATATTCTTGTTGTTGTATTTTAGTAATAGGGCACTGGTCAGAATTCTGAAAGCTTAAGCCCATATCTTTGTCACACATCATTGAAAGTAACCACAGGCACAGTCCCTATAAGTTACCACATAGCAAAGTTGTATCCCGAAGTGTGACGTTATTTAAAAGTGCATATTTTGAAGTCCTAAGTCCATTTCGGTTGAAACTCGGTATGTATGTAGCAAAATCTGAATTGATGTCACCATGACGTCCTTGGTTGATTTTTTATGATTTTTTTTAATGATACATGACTGCACATTGGCAAAAAACGTAAAGTCAGACAAATATAATAATCGGAAAAGCCCTATGTTCTGTTTTCAAACAGACATAGACCTCTTGTTTCTTTTTCTTTTTGTCTGGTTTTGATTTTGCTGCGTATTTTTCAGATCAAGTTGCACAATTTTTGAGCTTTCAATACAAATCTTGTCTCATTTCACTTGTTTTTCTTTTTATGTTTTTGACAGGAAAAGGCAAAGATGAGAAAATTGACAAGGACAAACTTCCTGGAGCAGATGACAGGTAAGACAACAAACAAACAAACAAACAAAAGTTTAATTTCTTTTCAATTAAATTGCCATAGAAAATATTTCCTCTTGTGGGTACTAGGAAAGTAATCATCATTACAGAACAGATCTTTGGACATAAGAATCATACACCTTTGTAAAGATAACCTAACATGCTTGCTTACTGTCCTTTACCCTGCTAACAAAATGTGAAATGTGCTTTGTTGCAAAAAAAGGAGTTTAGTCTTTTGGTCCACTGTTTTAACATCCTGGTACGAATACCTCATTGATTTTATTAACATTGACACTTTTGTTTATATATGCAGCATCTTTGCTGACATTGGTGAATATGCTCCCAGCTTCACCAAGGCTAGACCTGCTACTAAAGACAGAGACAATAAGGACAGGGAGCGTGACAGAGACCGTGATCGAGACCGTGACAGGGAACGTGATAGAGACCGTGACAGAGACCGTGATAGAGATCGTCATAGAGACAGAGAGAGGGGGCGTGACCGAGACAGAGAACGAGAGGAGGATAGACGATCTAGGAACTACTTTGAACGACCCAAAGTTGATGATGAGGTAATTGATAGGGTTATATTTAAAACATCAAAGCCAAATCAAGTTTGCCATTTCCCAATTTGGTATTTGTACACTGAGATTGAGAAGTATACTTCTACAGGACTCTAAAATAAATATAAAAAGCTCATTTTCTCAACTGATATCCACTAGAAATTCAAAGAATTTAAGAAACATGCCTTTGCAAGAACAGCTTAACAAATTATACATTGCCAAATTGTGCGGCCCTGGTAAGGTTTTAATGCTGGCATATGCATTTGTCAGAGAACTCCAGAACAAAAAAAAAACCTAGTTGTATAAATGCCAAAGTTGATAACTTGTTTAGAGTTTCTTTGTTGTGTTTCTCTTGTTTTGTGATATCAGACACCTGTACCAAAGAGGAGTTCCAATGCCAAGGATTTTGCCCATATCATAAATGAGAAATATGGAAAGGTAAGCAATTTCAAATGCCGTACTTCAGTATTTCCTTTGTCTGTAGTATAGGCCATCAAACTCACTCAGACAATTCTAGTATTACTGCACTCAGTGTTTTGGAAGTAGAGTCAGTTTCCAAATTAAAATGATGCTGCTCCTGACGAAACCTTGCACCTTGTCCAAGTGTCTTTATTTTATTGTGCTGTGTAACTTTAACTGTTTAATATGTGTAAACTCATTGGTAGGTTGAGCCGAGACATGAGGAACGTTTTGCTGGAACCATGACTGCTGTAGATATGGCAGCATCTCAGGCAAAGGATAAAGAGCGTGGGTAAGTCAAGGAATAATGTGAGGAGTTGGACTTGTTGGGAAATGGACTCTAGACTACTCTTTGGAGAAAGTTTGAAAAGTAAGCCTGGCAAGTCCAAGACACCCCCCCCCCATTTTCTTGTGACTTCAGATTCCTATCTCAGACATGGTTTCCCTGATTGGGACTGGGTCTCAGAATATTTCATAGTGTATCTTTATTAGTCCTGTACTAATATTGTAATTTGGTGTGTTTTCATTACTACAGCATAGCATTCAAGGGTGAAGACAGACAACGAAGCAAAGGAACCAAGAATGACTTTGTAGATAGCTATGCAGAGTGTTATCCTGGGTAAGAGTTTACACTTTACTCTCTCTTCAAACCTTACCCTCTTGAAGTGGTCTTGGAATTTTGTACGGCACCACAAGGTATCCCTACTGTGGTGAATTACAATGGTGAATTGCCCCGTTACTGTCACTGTAATTTGAACAAAGGGCAACCTTTTTTCTTACTCTTTACACAGTTTATGAGGCAGTATATCAAACTTCGCAACTATATTTTGCAACACTGCTACATTGAATTCTCGCTAAGCCAAAACCGGTTAACTCAAAAACTCGAAGTAAGAACTTATTGCCATCAAAAGAATAGCCAATCATGCATAAAAATGCCCATTCTGACTTGAAATTTCAGACCTGAAACTCTCTTTTTGAGTCAAACTCAAAATTGCCAGGTGTAGAGATAAACTTGCGTATTTAGGCCACAGAAGAAACTGGAATTCTTTTGTTAAGTTCTTCCTTTGTTTTGTTAAGAAATCTCACAGGACCCCAATCAATAAACCTAAACTCAGGTATAGAAATGCAACAAAGAGGCTGTAGTAGTATGGTTGAAGCAACCTATTCACTGCAGTGCAACTCACACCAATGCAAGCAAACTGTGACCAGTCACACAAGGAGGCCGAAGACGCAAAGCGGCTGTAATGGTCGCTGCAGTCCTTAGGAGAAGCAGGCCCAGAACTGAGCTGCCAGTAATGCGTAGAAAGATTGCAAACTCGATGAGTCAAGTCATCATTGCCTAACGCGCTTTGTCTTTTCACATGGGGGATGCAGCTTACACGATGCCATTGAAAAGTATGAAAAGGTATCAAATTTGAGCAAAACGATGATTTGTGATTGAAAAAAATACATGTATTTAAATCATTAAAAAGAAGAAAAGTGAGCCGGATAACGTGATAAATATTACCGTGGTAAAACAAAGCTTTTTCTTATATCTCACTCCACAGCTACCTTTGCATCCACAGCTCCCTTTGCATCACAGCTATTTGTTGGCATATATGGTGTATTTATGCATCTGAAGATCACAATTTTCTATTATTATAAAATTAATGATCTCTTGATTTGTCCACAGAGCTGCTGAGACTGCTGATGCATTGGATGATTCCGATGATGAAGTTGATTACAGTAAAATGGACTTGGTAATCACAAATTATACATTACAGTTCAGTTAAGAATGTGCTACAGGAACCTATAAGGTCACATGGACTAACAATGGTTAATGGAGGGCACTTTAAAAGTTAAGAAGAAGATGTGTTGTGAATTTACCTTCAAATGCTTATCCAATTAGAATGTACAATGTACACCGAACATGCTGGCACTTCATTTAATTAGTACAAGACATAATAGTTAACAGAAGCCAGTAGCATATCCAGCTTTTATCCACTGACATAAGTACTGTTTATGTAGTTCAAGCACTCGGTATAAAAGGTAGGGAAGACCCTTTGTCATTGGTGCAATTTCATGTTTGAAGCATCAAATGTGCTTAAATTCTCAAGACAGGTGTTTATTTTTAGCGGATGAACTTTGAGCTCGGTCAGTGCTGTATATTCTGAGAAATCAATGTTCTGGGTTCTCAATTTCAATTCAAAAAATGCCGGGTCATATTTAGAACTGCACCTGAAATCAGCATCAAGGCACGTTCTCATTCAGCCGATTGCAGTTACGCGATGTCATGTACTGAACTGACAAATAATACCAACTGTGTGCCCATGTGCGTCTTGTCAACGCTTGCATGCACCCATTCATGGACTCGTTGAATTACAAACTGCTAACTACTTACTGAAATTTCAAAAATGCATCACTTGATGCATCTTGGGTAATGGCCTTCTTTTATTGTTTTCTTCGAAATGACAGCATGGTAGAAAGAATAATTTCACAGGCAGTTTAGTGCCATTACTATCTGTAAAACAAGTTAAACCTTTCAACAATATTTTGGTCAGTTACTTTTTGAATAGCTGCAGAATTGTTCTCTTCCTTCAAATGTTTTGTTCCTCATCACAGGGAAACAAGAAGGGTCCAGTTGGACGATGGGACTTTGATACTCAGGAGGAATACAGCACGTACATGAATAACAAGGAGGCATTGCCAAAGTAGGTCACTTCTATTTGCTTTCACTAGGAAAATTTTGAGAGATCTTTGAGAAAGAGTGCATATAATTTGAAATTATCTGGAAGCTAGGCCCATGATGGTTGACACCTTTATTTTTTAGACGTAATTAAAAAGATGAGGAATTATTAAAGTAAACAGGGGCTGTCGAGTATAAAAACTGTCATCAAAGATGTGTTAATATGGACTCCTGTTCATATACAAAAAAAAAAATAAAAGATTGAATACAGGGGTTTCCCTTAACTTTTTCCTTAACTGGCCGGCCGGGCCAGTAAACCAGAGTTTTCACTGGCCCGCAACCTTTTTCACTAGCCCGCAACCTTTTTCACTAGCCCAAATGTTTTAATAGTAACTTTCAATCAAATCACCATAAGCATTTTTGATAACATTTTTGATAATAAATTATGCAATATGAATACAACAATCAGCAATTATCTTAATCATGTACATAATATTGCATGTAGTTCCTTTTTAAGTGATGTCAATGTTTCTTTAATCGTCCATGCTTTAACATAGAGCAAGGCTTTAATTAACAGGAATCAAATAGGGGGAGAAGTTATAATCAAAATTTATGCAGTGTGCTTCGTTCCGAACTTAAGGCTTTAGGTGTTCTATTTCCGACATGTTTTGATAAAACACGAACTAAAAAAGCGTTATCTTGAGGAACAAGAAAACATTGCACACAGTCGTGGTATTAATGGGAGTTTACCAAGTTAGTAACTGAACTGTTTTAACTTGTTTGAAAATGAGTGAGAAGGCCAGTATTTTCAAAAAAACATCTCTCGCGCGTGCCATGCATTTCTAGCGAAGAATGGTGCAATCAGCGTACCAAGAAGCGCTGCGGGCGGGCGACCCACGAACTTACGCTGGTCACGTCAATCCATAACGTTTTCCCCATGGTTTTCCGGAGCACGGTCCACTTTATATTCACTAGTCTTTACATTCAAAATAGGCCCCTCGAATCTCATATTGTCCTCATCTGTTCAAGAAATCATCCCAAGAATCCGTTCGGGCACAGGTTTTGGCAGTGAAACTGTCATGAAAGTTTTCTCCCCACCGCGTTGTATGATACGAATACAATGTATGATGTTAACGTACGTACCTCCGTACCGTACAGTGTGGACTGCAGACGAAGTAAATCACGTGCACTGCATGTGTGCACAATGTGTAATGGCTAATACACGTTGATTCGCCTCATGTTTGTCATTGGGATTTCAATGCACAGCGCACTGCGAATATACATGTACATGGAGTGATACGATGTTTTTATTTCGGTCGGCGTGGCAAAGTATTCATGTGTTGTATCACCCTTAACTTTTTATTTTGATTGATTGAAAAATACTGTAGGGAAAACTTCGTTATTTTTATTTTTTTAACAGTTTTTTGACTCGCCCGTCGGACTACTGAGAGGAGGGTTTTGACTCGCCCGCCGCTGTTTTCACTCGCATTTGGCGAGTGGGCGACCGCTAAGGAAAACCCCTGTTGAATAAAATAGATAAATTATAAATTACACATACATAGAGACAAAGACCAACAAATAATGGCCCATGAAACAAATGCAACACAACAGCAAGACCAGTGAAAAGAAACTTATCAAATAGACCCCAGACAGATTGCCCGCCGCCAGTTTTATCTGTGCTCTTTTCGGATGGAAAACTTCTAGAACATGGTTGAAAAGATCTGTAGATGCACAGTTCTGAACTGTCGTTGAATGATGGGTTGTACTTGTTTTTGTTTTTTTGTTCAACAGAGCTGCTTTTCAGTTTGGCATTAAGATGTCTGAGGGACGTAAGACACGACGGACATTTGGTGAAAAGAATGAGAAAGCTGAGCTGGATCGTGAATGGCAACAGATCAGCCAGGTGAGTGCTTTATGGGCAATTGACATAAGGAGCCACCTCATTGGTGCAGTGTCATGAGTATTATCTTTCAGAGCTGGATACCTTACTCTAATAATGACCCTTTCTCTTAGAATCACCCAGTGTGTTGTAAGTGTGTTTTGTGTAGTGTAATGGGTCATATCCTGTTGAGATGTAGACCTTACTCTAATAACTTCCCTCAAGTGTTGACAAGTAGGGTTTCTAATTTAGGTTAATTTAAACAAAGTCTTAATAATCAGATAAAATTGTAATAACTTGTAATGAGCAAGATTTCCCAATTCACTTTACCTGAATTCATCTTTTTCAACTTTACAAAGATTTAGTTGCATTTGCTGTAGGGATGATTTTATAAGGTTTATGAAATTCTGGTTATTCAAGTCTAGGCCTGAAAATTAATCCCATCTTAGATCTAGGAAGACTCCAAACAATGAAATATAAGATGTTGATGGCATATGTTAATGCATCCAACCTGTTGACAACATGTTTACTTATTATTGAAATATTGGGACTCAATTCTTCAACAGATCATCTCCAAGAGGAAAACTGGCCCAGAGGGAGGAAGGTAAGTAAACAGAAGTGACCTGATCCAAAGTTATTTGGGGAATATTTTATCAGGTGAATTAAAACCTGTGCGGAGCATGACCATGGTTATCAGACAAGGCGTGGGAGATGAACAGTCACAAAAATTGAAATTGGGGAATTTGTCCGTAAACTTTAGTTCATTTGAGTTGTAAAATGTCTTTCAAGCTGATGTTTATTCTGTTAATGGACTTGTTTACATGTTAACTTTCATCTTTTTTTTTTGTAGCGGGAGCAAGCGACCCAAGTACTGAAGAAATGTCCGTGTTTGTGTCATTCATGAGTCACATTTATGCTAATGAGGGTTAAGCTGCTCTGCCCAGGTCAATGACAATATTTACCATAATTACTTGTGAATATGAACAATTTACACTGTTATTCATTCAGATTGATTTAAAGTTTTGATTCTAAATTAAGGTCAATTTAAGCATATATATATTGAGTATGATGTGTACACTTTTGTAATGTTATTGAAATAGGAACAGCTGAATGAAAGTTTTTTTAAAAGCACATAATTGCGAAGGAATTACATGTATCTATAATCACTGCAGTGTGGTACAAAGTACATGTACTCAAAAACAATCAAGCAATTTCTAGCAAGTCAAGCAAGTTGTTGACTCCAAATGTTATATTACAACCACTGATGAATACATGTACATTTGTACTGTCAGAGGTTGCACTTTTTGGACTTGAAAGATGCTCTGGAAGCTTGAAGCTTCATAGGGCTTCTAAGATCACAACGTGACGTTGTCTCTTTCAAAAGTTGCCTCAAAACTTCTTCCTTAATCAAGCCACTTTAGCATCAACGATATACCTTTGGGAGACATGTGGAATTAGGGAGTCATTTCAATGTCTCCCTAATTCCTCAGCTCCTATTTAGAGGCAACATTTTACCGACGCAAATAGGCTAGATCGATTGCTCATCGTCCAGCTGGTAAAAATACCAAACTTGGGATAAGGTAAAATTGGGGCTAGGGTCAGGAAAATCTGAAAACGTTTGTGCACAAGTCAGTGAGAATGTCTCCCTAATGGTATAGTTTTCAGCTATATTATTATTTTTATTATATTTATTATTACTACAGTTGTATATGCATTTAATGATCCATGCAGTCATGGAAAGGCAAGAACAATCTGAGCTCAACAATTGCTCTTCAGAAACATTAAACAACGGTAATTCTCTACCATGTGTGAAAAATGGTATTCATAATTACCTAAGACAGTTTACCCATTCCTATTGGGAGAGAGCCTGTCACGTGGGTAGTTTTAAACGGTTGATAAAACACCGTCCAGCTGGTTGTAATCACTTCAGGTGTCACATGAAATTTGGACTCCTATGAAGTCTGGTGCCTTTTACCCTTCTATTGGTTGAACATTCACAATCTTCACTTAGGCATATGCGCAATGCTGCTAATGAGTCGGTACTTCATGGAGTCTTAAATTCACACTACACCGGCACTGCAGCATTCAACACGAATTATCGTACACTACGCGCCATGCACGCGCCAGTCTCCACTATATTAGGAGATTTTTAGTACTATTAGTGAGAGGCACATACAACAACATATCCAGAGCAGGTGTTTAAAAAATTGTTGGAAATTTATAATTTTTGACTTTTTGACCCAAAGGTATTTATAAATGGGAATAAATATGTACTTTGTAAGTATTAAACAAGTACGTTTAAAACCAGCTTGGGGCCTGGTTGACGATAATGTGACGTCCAGGCCCCAACCATACTTGTTTGAAAACCGGTTAAGCACATATGTATTCCCTTATTAAAATCGGCGGCTTCAGGGCTGTTTAATGGACTGTTGTTGCCTTAGCTGTAATAAGCCCCACCCAAGCCACATACATCATGCATAAATAAGTGCCAACATGTCAGACTTTGTCACGAAATCATGGTCGTGATTGGTGGAAACATCATGGGTGGGGCTTAAGCTTAATACATTGGTCCATTAGAATTTGTGGGCTGCAAAGGACACATAATGTGTCTGTGTGTACCTTGCAGAATCAGGTGTCATAAATGTTACCTTTTTTTAAAATTAAAGTCGAGGGGGGCAGGGAAAAATCCTGGGCTCATCGTGCAGCAGTAATGCTTTTATGAAAGTTGAAGGGCAGTAAATTCTGTATTGGTCTTCTAACAGGATATAGATTTGTTAGTATTTTTAATAGCCAAGAAAAAAGAAACTCTCTGTCCTTTGCTATCATAATGTTCATTATATATACTGATTATTATGATGGATCTACTTTTTTGTAAATATTAAAAATTCTAGAGAGGGGGTTTATCCCAATTAATTTTTTTTAAATCTCTAAACTAAACTTTCTTGTGTTGTTCCCAAATAAATATATTTGTCAGAAGTGAAAAAAATCCCTGTGACTTAAATTTGGTTTTTATTCAAAGTCTGAGAAACTTTAAGGAATAAAGAAAGAGTAGCCATTCAGGGTGAATATGGGAACATCCCTAAGAAATCATGCAATTATAATAAAAGGATAAACAAAAAATAGGTCATTAATTAGCTCATAAAATAGCTTTAAAGCAAAACAGTAGTAAACTTCCAGAAAATGGAAGTGAACGTCATTCTAATTTTGCATACCCACTTCTTTTAGTCTAATGGATAATTACCCTAGTATCATAATGATTAAGAACACTGCTGGACAAATAGTTTCATGAGAAGTGTGAGTAATTTTGTTTCAAATTAATTGTTCGTATTTTGGGTTCAGAAATATTTTATTTGGTTGGGGGGGGAGGGAGGGATACAGCCTGCCGCCAACCTGTGCCCACTTATTTGAAGCTAGAACAAATTTAATAGAACAAATAGTAAAAAGAAGTCTTATTAAAATAATATCCATCTGTAGTTTAAGATGATATGGTGCAAACAATAAGAAACATAACATTCAGAACCCCCCCCCCAACACGCCGGTGTTAGGCCACGCCCCTGACGTCACAACTTTCACATTGAGGGCGCAATTTTCGAATAAAAAACAAAATGGCTGAAATATGGACAAAAATGAGGTAGCTGAAAAAGGAGCAATTTCACTCCAAAATAACACCATGTACAATACACAAGGTGCACGAATATTGACAAGCAACTGTTGAAGGTGAGATTTGTATAACACTTTTACGAATTTTGTGCGTAACCATTGAACATTCATTGCTTTTGTGTGTGCGTGAATAATCAAAACTGATGAAGTGAAGGTCGCAACCTCGTCCCACTTTATTTGCAACCTCGTTTCCAAGAATAAGCCCCGATCATGCCGATAGGAAAGTTTCTTCTGTTTATATTGAAATACCTTTATTGAGTGGTCGGGCACAACCCGACCACTCTTTGGATTTGTTACGATTAATCTTTCTTTCTTTCTTTCTTTCTTTTTTTTTCTGCACAGCACGTTTCCGCGGGTTTTCTTCTAAACGGTTTATGATATGAACTTGTAACTTTCAAATATAGTCAGACTCCCTATTAATATCGCGGCATCCCTATTATCGCGGCATGGGAAATTTCTCTTTTTACAGTGTCAAAACTCCTCCAAGTGGCGAATTTCATCCAGTTCACCAGTCATCAAGGATTTTCTACCGAGTTTTATAAAAAGGACGATTAAAAATGTTGTGTCTTTCGGGACTTTTAACGATTTTAATAAATATTAACGTTTTCCAAAACTTGCAAAATTTTACCTCACCGTGTCTGCTAAAAGGTACCGTTTATATTTTAACATAAATCTTTAATTGCGCTCTGTCCATGAAAGTTCCATTGTCTGGTTCCCATTCTTCAGCTGCAAATGTAAAATGAAGTCGAACGACGATATTTGCAGCGCGAAATCGTAACAACTTTTACGGGATCAAAATAAGCACCGCGCGTTAGCGAAAATAAAACGGCACACCGTGTAAAGTGAATGGCGCCCTCAATCGCCGATCAGTAGACTTGCCTCAGGGATTTGTGTTCTCCTTTCGGGGGAAGGGCAGGGTCTTAAGAAATCATCCTGCAGACATTTTGTCTTTAATCAACTTGAACGTTACAGGGAAAATATCAGACTTTATTCAGGGGGTGTTTTGGTCAAACATAAACTATGAACAAAAAAGTTGGGATCATTATAAAAACCACTTCCCGCATACCGCGATAATAGGGAGTCCACCTCCGTTCGCACACGCCGCGCATGTCTATTTTCACAGGCATCGTACACGGAATAAACCACACCACCCGTCAGATTTTTTTATATTAATTAATTTAAAAAGGAAGAGTTATACTACACATAAGACAGGACAATTCTGGAAGGTTAGTGGGCAATCTCTATTCCGAACGAGAAACGTGATAAGTACCGCGATAATACGGCGTTCCATCCTATATATTGACCCTCGTCTCAAGTGGTGCATATTACTCTGACGTCATTATGACTTCATTGGGTGTCAAATTACAAGCGATTTTAGCTGAAAAAGTGACCAATTACGTTCATCTATAACTCTTGAACAAACTAATCAATGATATTTGTATTCTGTAATCAGATACACCATTAATTGATTAACATTTTTTGTTGTGTACGTGAACTCGCTTGACCTTTACTTCCGGGTCTACCGGAAGGTCAAAGTTAAGTGAATTCAAAATGGAGATGTTAGCCTGAAATCAAAACAAAGTAAAATTTCTTCCGAACGGTTTACGGTATGATCTCAAAACCTTGTGTAAACTTGTACCATGTTACGAAGATGTTATAAATTTTGTTACGGCATCATGACGTCATCAGGTATCAAATTACTAGCGATTTAAGGGCAAATTTTGACAAAATAGTTTGCGTTATATCTTTTGAACTAAATAGAGTATCGTGTTCGTTTTTTTCGTGAGGTTGTAGACTACGCCATGAGAAACATTTTGTGTTCCCGGACACAAAACCGCTTGACCTCTACTTCCGTTGTTGCCGGAAGTGCAATAAAAACCAAAAATAACTAGAAAACGGAAGCATTTTACTACAAACATATATTATGAAAGTGTTTAGTGCGGAATGCCAGACACAAAAAAAAACACTGTGATGATGTCGTCATCCAAAAGGGCGCCCCTATAGCTGCACATAAAATAGTGTTTCTTAATTCCATCATTTGATCCATGTCGTGTCTTAGCCCAAATAACGATACCATTACAATGTTCACCTTTGCTTTCAAATACTGTGACGTCATCAAACCGGAAGTTCGGTGTGATGAATACATACACTTATATTTTCCATATTTTCATACGTTATTTAACTTCACAATGAACATCTACTCCGAAATAAATAAGTATTCACTTCCTGTTATGACTAAGCCAGAAATAACTTGTATGTGTACGTAGAATGTTTACTGAAATTTATCACACCGTTAAAGATGTATTTTTAAACAAAATAATTGACTGTCCTGGAAAGGATTTAATTTCGTGATTCTTTGTTCTTACATACTAATATTTATAACTTAACTGGACAGTGTTTTATAAAGTACATGTAGTTGTCTACCCGACCACTCTGCGTTTGTAACAACAAACGCGAATCTCTAGTTGTTATCAAATTACAGCTATTTTGCTGAAAAAGAAGGCAGAGAGCTTATTCACACATACGCTGGTTTTTATAATAATAAATGAGTGGTTTAAATGACCAGTCACACTGGATTCTCCGGTTACTGAATACAGTATATGAGGCATTCACTACTGTCCTTACAATATCCTCTAAGAGAGACTTAATGACCCGTTAAGACATACTAGGGGCCAAGTTTCTGACAGCAGAGGTTAAGTCGGATGGAATATAATGACCTAAGGCACCTACCGGTACTTCTATTGTCACCGAGTCCACTGATTGAATTTGTTCTGTTAAGTCCGCCACCAGTCCTTGGTATTTTGTTGTCTTGCGGACTTTAGCATTCCCCAGGTTTACTGTGGAGTTGTTTGGGATTGTCAATTCTCCTACAACGGCGCTTGTGTGCCCGCTATGTAGAAAGATGTCCGGACGAAGGTTGGTTGTGCATATTGCGATTGGAATAGTACTGGATTCCACGCACATACCTGGGAGGTCGACTGTCAAGTTGGATTCCTGGTCCACATGATCGGACAGGTATTTGGAAAGACATTTGAGGTCGCAGTTGTGTCTCCATGTGAAGTGACCCAAATTAAGGGCTTTTTCACATGCGCTCAGAATGTGAGCAAGTGTGCATCTAGGTTTGTGACACAGGTGACATTTTGGGTCAACTTGGATTCGCCATCTTGTCAAGTTAATGGGGGTGGGTAGGGTATCGCATCCTGCTCTGAGAAGAAATGCTAGCTGGCCGCTGGGAAGAGAATAACGCACTCGCTGCCAGGCATTGGATTCACTCTCCAACTGGATAATGTCTGATAGCTTTGATTGTACTTGTAGGTCTTGTAGGTGTGTTTCCCAGTTGAGATCATGGTTGGCTTTTGTCAGTTCCTTTATTCTCCTGGCAGAGGTTTGTGAGGTATGTGTAGTGTCGCTTGAAGCCAGTTCCCGGACTTTATCGATGGCTGATTGGAAGATTTTAGGGACCGCATTTCCCCAGTCACCCGCAGTAGTGTGTTTGTAGAGGGAGTCTTGTAGATTTTGAGTTATGAGTGGGTCGCCTCCATGTTTGAAGATTGAGAGGACCAGATTAATTTTGCACTTTTGTTCTAGTTGGGGTAAGTATGGGGCATTGAGAGCTTTGGTGTGAAATAGAGCTGCCAGTGTGGTTGATTTAACGAAACCGAGCCATTTTTCAGTTATGGAGTAACTTTCCGTTGGAGCGTCTTCAACTGGTTTTCCGACTCAGCGCCAACTGATAATGAGAATCAGATGGCAGGGCACAAGTAGTTGGAGTATATCCAAGTTTTATACTCGGGCTTGATAGGTCGTTGGTCCAAAGCCCTCATCACTGTTTTTTTTTAATGTTCGATGCCGAGGCGATTTTTGTGTTCAATGCCGTCGCGCCTTCTACTGCACCCAGAAATGTTGTCGGGTTATCGCACACATAAATTTGCGTTTTTTTGGCCACTGATAGAGACTGAGGCAGATTTAATCGCTTTAGGGCCTACCTTACGCAGGTGGGCGCACTTATCCGGTCGAATCTCCAATCCAACAGACAGGATGTCTGCTAGTGGATTTATATCATGTAGGCCTATTTCAATTGTACTATTTCAACTTCAACGTGCATTATCCAGTGTTCTCTAACTTTGAAAATTAAAGGTTGGGGAAAGATTTCCATATACGAAGTTCACTCATTTTCCTCTGTATTGACTAACATAACAAGCCCCGGGATAGCAATTTCATGTCATCAAAGTCAATTTGAGCAGTGAGAAAATACAAGCATTTTCTTAGAAAACACTTAAAATTTGTCTGTCCAATCTCATAGGGTTTGTACACAGGGTGTTGAGTGAACTTCGTATATGGAAATCTTTCCAAGGTCGGTGCTCCGTCAAAAAGCTTTTGGCAGAGTTTCTGTCCAAAATATACCCTGGAGGGTCTTTTTTATTGTTTTTAAATTTTTTAATAATGCACGGCGGCAACTTTTGAAGCATGGCTACAACTTTTGAAGCATGACGGGCACCTCAGAATGCATGGCATTTTTACAGGGTGGAGAACACTGTTTACTACCCCTAGAACTATGGGTCTTACACGTAAGACCCATACTGTAGATAGGCATATCAACGCGATTATACTCTGCGAATGGAAATGAGTTTTGGAGCGGCCGCTGTATATTTGTACCCCAAGACTATGCCCAGTACTTCTTGACATGTTCGCGTTCATTTCGCTAAAAAGTATAAGGGTTGAATTGATCCCGATGATGCAAAAAAATGATGAAAACAGACCCCTTTCCTTACCGAAGCTACAGTTTGAGTTCAACATTTTAACATGCTCGTCGCACGCGAAGCGTGTTGTTGGCGTGACATCAGAGTCTTTTGGTCTAGGAACCGACCATTGACACTGTCTTAATTGCGGGCGGCGTCAGACGGGCCAATCACGAAATGTAGGCCCTAATATCACATATCAAGCTGACTGATGGACTGACCGACTGACTGAGTATCACTTATGACTTAAACTGGTTTTAGGCTGGTGGAGAGAGTCGGGCAGTGCTGTTGTATATGATTACCCCATAACACCACTGATTGGAAAATCAAGCTAATTGAGCTATCACGGTACAATCGCGTTAGAATCGCTTCAACGCAGCTTGTAAAATAATAATTGTCCAATTACATGGTAAACAAATGGATGCGGAATGCACAAAATCTGAGACATACAAAACTTAATGTACCAAAACTCCATACATTGTCTAAGGGGCGTGGCTAACTCGCAAACGGCGATAGGTCAGTTGTGTAATTGCTTGAAAAGCGAATAGCCATTGAATAGCCGTTCTGAATCAGTTGAATAGAATTTTAAGTGCAGGCTGACTTGAACTGGTAAGGGACTAGTTTTACTAGAGTTGCTCTTGTTACTGTTAGACAAATAAATAATTTTTGTGAAATTTTTAATACAAGCTGTTTAAAGTGTTTTCGTCCTGTTTTCTTTGCATCTTCAGATGATCAGCACAGCAGCCGGAAACAGATCTAGGCACCTCAGATGATCAGCACAGCAGCCGGAAACAGAACTAGGCACCTCAGATGATCAGCACAGCAGCCGGAAACAAAACTAGGCACCTCAGATGATCAGCACAGCAGCCAGAAACAGAACTAGGCACCTTAGATGATCAGCACAGCAGCCGGAAACAAAACTAGGCACCTCAGACGATCAGCACAGCAGCCAGAAACAAAACTAGGCACCTCAGATGATCAGCACAGCAGCCGGAAACAAAACTAGGCACCTTAGATGATCAGCACAGCAGCCAGAAACAGAACTAGGCACCTCAGATGATCAGCACAGCAGCCAGAAACAGAACTAGGCACCTCAGATGATTGGCACAGCAGCCGTAAACAGAACTAGGCACCTCAGATGATTGGCACAGCAGCCAGAAACAGAACTAGGCACCTTAGAAATTAGATGATCAGCACAGCAGCTGGAAACAGAACTACCCACCTTAGATGATCAGCACAGCAGCCAGAAACAGAACGTGGCACCTTAGATGATCAGCACAGCAGCTGGAAACAGAACTAGGCACCTTAGATGATCAGCACAGCAGCCAGAAACAGAACTAGGCACCTCAGATGATCAGCACAGCAGCCGGAAACAGAACTAGGCACCTCAGATGATCAGCACAGCAGCCAGAAACAGAACGTGGCACCTTAGATGATCAGCACAGCAGCTGGAAACAGAACTAGGCACCTTAGATGATCAGCACAGCAGCCGAAACAGAACTAGGCAACAATGCTTTCCAGCAAACTGTTTGGAAGATGGAACTCCATTACACTACCTCGTCACCCACTGCCTTTCACGTGCTCCAAATCAAGCTTGCCGTCGACTGACTGGAATTATGGCAAACAACTGTCGCTTGCGCGTGCATCAACTGGTTTACTTTCAGAGTGACTGTCCAGCAGATGCTGCCAGTGTGCACATTCGTCGTCTTACGGAGGACATATCTGTTGGACTCGGAGCCTACTTCACCGGAAACTGCAAACTGAACTGCAAATGTTTCAAGGGTACTCCCAACTTAATCGTCAGCAGACGCTGCTTCCTGGGTGTCGTCAGGAAGGGCAGAGTTCAAGATGTGATGCGCGGACAACTAGACGCAACATGAGCCTGATGAGTTCCATGGTGGATGCAACATCCAGCCGAGTCCAGCCCTACCTGAGATTGATGAAATTAGACAGACCAACAGGTGAGCATTTGTGGAATTTCTTTTCATATGAAAGTGATTTGCTCTTGTGAAATTGTTGAGCGGAGAAAATCTGTCTTAATTTTTCAGGTCTCAGTGATATTTTGACAAGTAGACTACTACTCGTCAGAAGTCATATTAAGGATTGGGATAAAGGAGCAAATTTTGATTATTAAACCAGTTGGCGTCAGAGGACATGTACGTACACGCAGCGATTTTACAAAATTCAAAACCAATGACGTGTACACACGTCACGAGCGAAGCCGGAAAAAAATCTGTCTGCAAGTCAGAGCCAAGGGGGTTCGGCTGGAAATATGAGCCTGATACCTGCAGTTGATGGTTCAACCCTTCTGGCATCGATGTCGAGTAAAATAATCCCGATATGGAGACCAGTAACTTCAGAAATGTTCCCGAGTCAGATTTTGCAGAAACATGTATCTCAGTGTCACTGTGTTTCTTTTTATTGCAGGTACCTGGTTGGTCTACTGGCCGTGTGCTTGAGGCATCGCTCTAGCAGCAGACCCAGGTCATCTCCCCAGCCTGTACATGCTGGGTCTGTGTGGCCTGGCTGCTCTGGTGGTCCGTGGGGCTGCCTATACCATCAACGATATGTGGGACAGGGACTTTGACAAAGCCGTGAGTAGACTTATCATATTTGCACTTGTTTTGTTTTTTGGCCCTTTGAAGTTTGAATCAGGAAGAGCATGAGCACTGTTGTTTCGCAGTTGACTTCTATAGAAGGCTACAGTTAGACCCCTAGCATAGAGCACCTCACTGAGAACAAGTCTTTTTCCCCCTGTTACATGCATGAGTAGACATTTTGCACTGCAGCCGATTTCACGAACGTTTACGCAACTCCACTTGCGTCACAATTTAACGCGTAAGTTGCGCAACATTTCTCGCTCTACAACAGTTCAATTATGACACATGTCACAAAAGTTTTACAAATTATGGCCTAACTTGCGCAATCATCTTAGTTGGCGTTAGATATGGCGAAGCGAATGAAAATGTCACTTTTACTACCACATGCATTTGTGTCTACTCGTGACGGAATTTTTAGAAGTGCCGCATTTTTTCGAAGAAAATCGGAGAAAAACTCATTTCATAATGGCGGGCGGAGGTATTTCAACGACGATTACATAAATGAACACAATCATTCACAAACAGCTGTTGAAAACGCTGTTATTATCCTCGTCCAAGATATTTAAAAGCATTTAAAACATTGTGCAGCTACTCCAAGTTTTGTGAAGATATTTAAAAAGCATTTAAAACGTTGTGCAGCTACTCCAAGTTTTGTGAAATCGATCGTAAGTTTATTGCGCAGCTGTGCAATAAATTTGTTGCGTAAGTCCTACGCTTGGTGCTGCGCACTTTTTTGTGAAATCAGCTGCTGGACTTCAGGGGTACATGTTGTTGCTAAACAATTTTACAAGACTTATGCTGACTTAATTAGTCCCATAATGAGACAACTGATACAGTATATTTTGCAAAATGTGAATTTGAAAGTTTAAAGTGTAACCATGTGCATGCAGTGTAATCTGTCAATGTATGGATTCAGGTTGACGGTAGTGTTTGCTGTGTGAAATAGTTAAAACACCAAACCAATGCCAAGGTTTGATTTGACCATTGTCTAATATAAGCTAGTTCGCTATCTCGATGAAGTAGTCCAGGTCAAAGGTCATTCGGGATAAAGTCACTGACGTGCTGATATTCTGGTTGTAATAAGCGCACGAGTGTCGTGCGCCCGTCTCCGTGCGCGTTCATACGCCTTCGATTATCCCGAATGACCCGTGACCCATATCATTGTGCGCATGCGTAGTTGAAATACAGAACTGGCTTATTGTAACACCTTCTTTGTTGATTTATTGATTGCAGGTTGAGCGGACTCACACAAGGCCCATCGCATCAGGTGCCATCAGTCGCAGCCAGGCGTTGGTGTTCCTAGGAGGTCAACTTAGCCTGGCGCTGGGAATACTGCTCAATCTAAACCCATACAGGTAGGCTATTATTAAGAAGTTGTTACAGTGCAAATACAGGCTACTAAATAAGCAAAGTTTCTTCGCTATTGCAGTAGAACGTCACGTAGCAAACACAAAAGGCTATTTGTTATAGGGGTAAGTCAGCTGCTAATGTCAAAATAACTTTACATGTACATTAATCTGGAAGGTGAATATTTGTTCTGGCAGTGTTTGTTTAATTATCATTCAACTGTATACTGTTAGCGTACATGTACTTCACAGTTTAGCAAGCAATGTTGACATGTTTGTGAAGCACATCCCAAAACTCCTATACCTTTACAAAAACATGAGCAGAATTTTCGTGCTAGAATTCCTTAGTTGCTGGAGTCATAAAATAGGGCAACAGTCAGCACACAAGGAAAGTTGGCCATTGTGAACCGTAACAAGGACTTAGTTTGGGGGAATGATCTAGTGGATGGAAAATTAGGACTAAATTGTGAGGAATTTCTAGTGTTCATTCACCTTGGTGGTCCAGAAATCTTATAAATGTATGTTGTGTTTTTCCTACAACTCTGAAACCACATTTTTATCCGGATAATATTTTATCGTTATATTTGTCTCCACATTTCATTTTCTCAACAGCATAACTCTTGGATGCCTTGCCGTTGTACCCATGGTTCTATATCCACTCGCGAAGAGGTTTAGCAACTGGCCACAGATCTTTCTTGGTAAGTTTTTAAACTCTGGCAGGAGCTTCTACATGTCATTTGGTGGTCGGTTGGTCGGTCCGTCTGTCTGTCTGTCTGTCTGTCTGTCTGTCTGTCCCTGAAAATTGACCAAAAATATTTGACCAAAAATAATTGACTAATTGACCAAATGCCAGCGTTGGTCATAAAATGCACTCTTGCCGAAAGTTTTCAGAACACCGGCTTTGTTTGCATCGATGCGCATGCGTGTCTATATTGCATATGTCTGTCCCCGAAAATTGACCAAATTAAGCCCCCTAAGTTCCGCATAAATCAGGGGTGTGAAATCTCCGCTATTTAGCATTCCGCTTTTTTGTTCAGCGTGCCACATTTTGTTTTCCGCTTTTTTTCTTCCGATGGTCCAGATTTCCCCCCGCTTTTTCCCCCGCGCGTAAGCATTGATTTTATTTCCGTTTATTTTATTTTCTGCCGCCGCCGAACGCACGCGATCCGCTCTCTACAACATACGCGTAGCTCTGGGGTGCGTGCAAGCGAGTATTCAATGTACATTACATGTACATTGTACATTACGTACGTACATGTACGTGTGTACTATACGATGCCATGTTCATGCATTTTTCAGCTCGAAGCCGCGTGTGTACACAACGTGTAAACAGCATCCGGGGAACCAACAGTCATTGCGCTGTGATTGGCTGCAGATAAATATGAATATTCACACACACATGCGCCATGAAGCGTGTTGGGACTCTTTGCGGCCGTTCCTGTGTCTATGCATGTAGTGACACACGATGATCTCCACAATAACTCGCTGTAAACATCGTCTTGTTGCAAATATAAAGCCTTGAAATAAGACTAGTAAATTGTCGCCGTGCCGCAACGGTAGAGGGCATCATGCGGGGCAAAGTTCATGTGTGCATTTCATTGCATGCACGCATCCTGCCTGCTGTGTATTTCGCTGCATGCTGATACGTACGTTCGTGTGTCGTTTCAAATGTTTCGAACGTATTTTGACATTATTAATTCCGCAAGATGTCAGTGCAACACAAATGTGTTATTATCCAAAGAGGTTCGGAGTTTGATATGGACATTGACAAGACCGATCCTCAGGTTACAAATCCGTGGAAATGGATTTGGATGGAACACTCGGTTAATCATCAGCAGAAATTAGGCGACTCGATCAGAAGCCGGGACATGCGATGACGATGTGTATCATCTGCAGTAAGGAGTTAAAAATAATAAAATATGGAAAACGTGGTCGAATTTCCCAGTTTTCATTGCCATTTAGGCAGTTTCAAGCCTATATGAAGGAAAAATTAACTTAAAAACATGCATAAATTGCAAAACATTTTCGACCAATAGTTGGCCCATGCAGGCATGCCAGGAGGCTTTAAAATGCACCACAGAGCATCTACATTTCGAAATTTTTCCGGGGCCCTTGGGCGGGCCCCGGACCCCACGCCGTAAGGGCTTCACGCTTCGCGCTCGCAGGTTCGGTTATTTACTGGTTCAGCTATTTTCAGCTATTTTTTTGGGACCCCACTCACACCCCTGATAAATATAACTACCAAATTGACATTTTCAAACAAAAGCAAATGAAAAAAATTTCATACCTTATACAAATTGTAACAATTCGGAATGATGTTTACAAAAAGTTTGTAAATAAATGGACGCTAAATATGTGCAGTAACGTTATAGTCTCGTGGTATATAGCGCAGCATGATTTTCACGTGGGACGGCAGCCCGGGTTTGTACGCACAACCTCCGATCAACGTTACCGTCCGTTGCACTGTGAAATCGTTTGTGCCTGTGTGGATGGTACCTGAAGCACACGGTTATTTCTTGGCACTGGTGCGGGAAGGAGCCTGGCATCGCATTTTTGGGCGTCACATTTTTCAGCTCTGGCAGGGATCATTTTGATAGATTTGATGCAAGACTTTCATGCAAGACGGCCAGAGCTTATTGTGCACTCACATTGTTATTTTTACCATTACCTTTGAGCATTTTATTATGGCCATTGTCAAATAAAAGATAACTTGATTTGATAAGAATTCAATACCTTCATTATTCTGCATGCAGGTGTGACGACCAACTTCAGTGCTCTGATTGGCTACTCGGCCGTCCATGGGTCATGTGACTGGAGTATTGTTCTGCCGCTGTACGTTTCATGTATTGCCTGGACTGTTATCTATGATACCATTTATGGACATCAGGTAAGTCATTCATGAGCAGAGTGTTTTTACTATAAATCATCTGTTATTCTAGATTATGGAATCATTACTTAAAGGTAATATACAACATTTGCTTTGCTGTGATTTTCAGAAATGGATGGATTTGGGGGTTAGTATTTTATCTTATATTGTTACACTGACATGTTTAAAGTTTTGTGTTCATCGATGCTGGAAAAACCAGGGAAAAAAATGTTATTCTTGTAGTCTGGTTCCCTGATCCTACTTCAGAGAAAACGGAGCAATTTATGGACGTCAGGGAATTGTCGGGTCAGGGAACCAGGGTAGCTGGCTTGCACCCATTCATGGATGTGTAACCAATTGCAAAACAAACTGTGGACTTACTCAATTTGGTAAAGTGCGTGGACAGAGCCAATTAGGGCTGTCCATTTTTTAATAATTTAGTATTCGATTACTCGAAACGGCGTATGACCGAATATTCGGAAATGTGAAACTGCAACTGCGTACTGCGCCGCTAAAAAGTTGCACGAAGGGTGCGCCAGTTAAATCTGCATGCAGCAATCGATATGGGTTGCTTGAGTGTTTTGCAGTAAGTTTTTTACAACTATAAAGGGCTTTAACCCTAACCCTCTAGGGTATTTGGGCTAGAAACCCTGTCAAACGCAGCAACATGCAACACTTGTCCAAGTGACAAGCCTGCCCAGTGTATCAAGATCCATCAGGTCAAAAGTCTCAAGGCCAAACTGCCTCAGAGTCTGTGGTCTCCAAATGCAGCAGGATACAACTGTGTCATTGTTTAATGGGACTAGCTCTCATTGTCTTGGATAGCTGCTTGCATCAAAGTGCACCAGACTTTTCCACCTGATTCACTGTGTTGCGTCAGGCAGGATTAGGGTTAATTAACCTCCTAAAAGGATGAGAACAATGAACCGCCACTGACAAAAAAAAATAGTTACCGTCGACCAAAAAGTGGCACCTGACAATGGAGCGCCCAACTTCACGATATAGTAACATCACTGTCGTGTGTGTATGTGCATAGTTTTTTTGTTCTTTGAATATTCAAACCAGCAAAAAGCCATTGTAATATTCGGTTGATGATCAAATATTTCAAGTATTCGGTATATTCGACTGCCCTAGAGCCAGTACACACTTTGTGTGTCCTACTTTCAATGCTCAAAACAAAAATGGATGATTTGGCCCTTGGTCTTTTCTGGCGTCACTTGTGCATGCACGCAGCCAGTAGTCAATTTTTTATCTCTCTTTTTCAATACACAGGACAAGAAGGATGACATGGCCCTCGGCCTGGGCTCCACCTCCATCCTGATGGGAGACAACACCAAGTATTGGTTGACAGGCTTTGGTGCAGCTATGGTGTCTGGTCTGATGGTCGTTGGTGCTATGGCTGAGCAGACTGTGGCATACTACCTCACTGTGGCACTGACGGCTGCTCATATTAGCAACCAGGTAAGCTTAAAGCTTGACTTTGGGTTTGTCTGTTGGTTGCTTGATTGGTTTGTTTTAGGCCTGCAAGGATTTCTTTTGATCAATTAATCGTTCCCTTTTTGGAGGATTCACAAAAATTCTTAGTAAAAGTAGTAAGGTCTGTCACGAGCAAATGTGGCCCATCAGGCTGGCATTTGTTCTTAGTAAAAGTAGTCAAGTCTGTCACGAGCCAATGTGGCCCATCAGGCCGGCGTTTGTTCTTAGTAAAAGTAGTCAAGTCTGTCACGAGCCAATGTGGCCCATCAGGCCGGCGTTTGTTCTTAGTAAAAGTAGTCAAGTCTGTCACGAGCCAATGTGGCCCATCAGGCCGGCGTTTGTCTCTGGTTTCAGTGGCATGAAACGACTGAGAATATTGCTACTCCATCTGGATGGGATGCTAGTCCATCGCAGGTTACTCCCCAGCTAATGCCGGTACCCATTTATACTCCTGGGTGGAGAGAGGCAAGTGGGGTGAAATGGCTTGCCCAAGGACACAACATTCTTAGGACAAATTTTTTTAGGAATATGCTTAAGAGGGTTTGGGGCCTAATGTCAAGATACGTAAATCTGCAACCAATAACTGTTGTTACTTTCTCAAGGTGCAAATGTTATTTACAGAATGTTCCAGTCTTGGTTTGTTCTTTCGACCGTAGCTTCTCTAGCTATTCTCCCAGGGTAGTTTGTCAGAAACCTTCCCACGATACTTTTCTCAGAAATCTTCCTGAATCCTCTCAAATCTGCCACAGTGTAATATCCCCATTATGGCATCAATTATGTCAATTTCATTAAACTTAATCTTTGAAGAGACAAACATCCTCCCAAAACTGAGTGGTTGGCTGTGAAGGATCTATAATAGGTCTCTCTCAAATGATGTCACTTACTACAGATTGTCACATGCCAGAGGCATTTTGGGCATCAAATTTTAGTGACGTGCTTCGGCTGCGCCATATTTTGAAAAAAAAAAATTTGAGCAACAAGTTTGGAACATTTTGCACACTGCGCGCACATGCTTCTGATGGTGTCGAACACGCAGTTTTAATTTTTCTTTGAAGATGGCTGTCTATGAGAGGGGTCTGTTAAGGGCAAGGAATAATTTTGTTTATTTGATAATTACTGTTTGGAGGCAGTGTCACATAAGTCCAGTCACAGGCCACAGCGGATGATTTCTAACGAAAGAATGCCTTTGTCATAGTTTGTTCGAAAACTTGATTGCAACTGAGTTGAACTGACTGACTTGTGATGGAATTGACTGCAACACTGTTTAGGAATCTGTGTACTTTAGTGACAGTTTTCTTATTCACCCACAGGTCTGGACGGTGGACATCCACATTCCCCTAGACTGCTGGACCAAATTCCGCTCCAACAACAGACTGGGTGCAATCATCTTTGCCGGGATCATCGCGGGAACCCTGGCAAAAGTTTCAACCAAAGATTCAGACAGTTCAACCAAATTGGACAAGGAGGAGGAACAGGCAACTAGCGAATAGTCAACCAGGAGATTTGTGTGATTTTTCTTGCCACTGTTCACATGACTTCAACTTTTTGGAAGATCATCATCATCGCAGATTGTAAATATGCTACAACGTAGAGGATTTTTATGTTGCAAAGGAGCAACAACCTTTACAACTCATCCGTCTCATCTGGTTGGAGTGTGCTACAATGCAGAGGATTGCTACGTCACAAAGGAGCTGCAACCTTTACAACTCATCAGTCTCATCTGTTTCGAATGTGCTATGACGCAGAAGATTCTTACATTGCAAAGGAGCTACAAGTTGTGAACTCAACATCTCAATCAGCTTGGAATGTTTTACAAAGCAGAGGATTGCTACATTTTGGTACTTTGAAAAAAATTGACATGCTTTCAGCAGAACTTCTCAGTCATCTTCAAATGTTGGAAGATCAGCATCACAGGTTGTGAATATGCTACAATGTAGAGGATTGTTACGTTGCAAAGGAGCTATGACTTATACAACTGATCACCTCATCTGGTTGGAATGTGCTACAACGTAGAGAGGATTGCTACATTTATGTCGCAAACATGTGACTAGCTGTCAATCAAACCATCTCAGTCTTGTTGAGACAACATTTAGGATTGTCATCCCCTCATCTGGTTGACGATTGTTACGTTGCAAAAAAGCTACAACCTTTACAACTCATTACCTCATCTGGTTGAAATGTGCTACAACACAACATTGCAAGGAAGCTACAAGCTTTGAACTCAACTCAATCTGCCACATAGGACATGTTGAAAAAACAATTTGTGGCATACTTTTTCTATTTGCAAACTGTGATGCAAGGACTTTAAGTCTGCAGAAAAGGACACTTAGTTTGAGAGAACTCTAAAGTGTGGCTGAAAGTGAAAAAAATCCTTCAACGGGGGACCATTTGATGCAAATCCTTTAAAAAAATGAACTTGTAACCAGCCCTTCGCAATATCATGTCTACTTCAGACTTAAAAGTTCTGAAACTGAAAGACAGAAAAATGACAGAAAAATGCTAACCCGAAAAGGGGTCAACTCTGTCAATTTTAACCAAATCCTTTTAAGGCGCCATAGCGTAGCAATCCAAAGTGAAGCAATGATAGTATAAGAATCAACGATAGCCAATTGTTTTATGAATTAGATTTTTAACTTTTTCTACAGTACTTGACAAAAGAGGCGCAACATACCTGGTGTGTAAGGGCTGGTTCCCAAGAGAAAAACTAATATTTCTATATTTTAAATCTACGTTTTATAAGATAATAACTGCCTGAGAGGTACATTTGTAAGTGTGAATTGGTCAGGTGCAAGATAAGATAATGACAATGATTTTTTTGTCCTTAACCTCACCTAAAGCTACAAAATAGTACTGAGTAGTAACCTGTAGTATGCATTTCTTTCCATACAAGTGTGCACAAACACGTATTCTGTGGTATTTGGTCCTTGACCCCCAAAGAGCCCTTAAGACGTTCAGGGTTATTGAAAACAGTTCAAACACTCCTTTCAGGAATTTTGTCGAATTACAAATTACAACTTTTCATTGGATCAGTCATAGCCTGATAAACTTCTACATAGTGGGACCATCTACAGTGCTAAGTGCAATAATGTCACTATTTTCAATCCATTTTACGTGAAGATATCGTGCATTCTTAGCCACTTCCAAACTCAAGAGTCTGCAAACTTCGTATTTAAAAAGTGAAATTTTATTATTCCTTTCGTTGATGAGATAAAATTATGTTTTTTAAACTTGTCTTGCACCTGACATTTTGAGTATAACCAGCACTGCCATATTTGGCCAAACTCTCATTTTTGTTTACAATTTTTATAGATATTTTATGTGACAGTTAAATTTCTTGATTCTGAATTTCTGCCAATTTTTAACATATTTTTATAATAGTAGCATTGAAAACACAAATGCCTGTTTACATGTGATAAAATCACACAGCTCTGAAATTATTTGGTGAAAATTCCAAAATGCCATCAGAAAAAATATATATCATGCCCAAAATTGCTGTAAAGCTACTTTCAAACCATATTATCAAAACCTCAGTAATTCTGACATGGTGCTGGTTATACAATTTTAAAAAAAATCGATGTGACCTGCAACCCACGGATCAGGAAAACTGCCAAGAATTCCATTTAAACTATTCATCAATTATTTTTCTCAAAACGTGAAAAACCATTGGCTCTAAACCCTTTCAAATACACCAACCCTTATTTCTGAATCAACTGAAATTTGAACACAGTGGAACATCCAATGGCCTGGCACTTTGAAAGTACTATATGCAATTTACAGAAAGAAAAAAGCAATATTTGAAACATGAAACCCCCAAAAAAATGCAAACGCAAAAATCTGAAATCCGTTCTAAATCCGTTGTTAAAGGTTGCAGGTTACATCTTAATTTTACAAAACAAAACCAATGTGAATAACTTTGTTAATTTTGTATGTTTTACCACCAGGCACTCTCTCAAAAATGTAAATGTTTGGAGCAGCCCAGCTGCACACAGCCCCCCCTCCCCGGTGCGTGCACGTGTGTTCCCCGCCCGCAGGCGCTGACAGGTTGGTGGTCGCCCGCTATCTGCATCGACTTGTGCATCGGCTGTTCGTTGGGTGATGTGTGCAAAAAGACGTCCCTGATCTTATCGTCTGGGTGGATCGTGGATGCCTCAGCGGACTGCAACATGGTAAGGATCCTGAAAACTTCTTACGATCGGTTCTTAGTCGGTTCTACAATGACAGATGTTCACGAGCACCTCTCCAGTGTTGGCAGACCAAGGAGAACCCTTTTTGCATCTGTTTTCAAATCGCCTGCTTTGCATTTCTGCTTTTGCAGTACGTCATGTTTTTATGTATCCACACAAATGGAACTTTTCCAACTGGTTACTCATTGTAACTATTGGATATTTGACAATCTTGGATATTTTTCAAAGTTGTTGGAGTTTAGGAACGATTGTATTGATGCCATTTATATCGATAACTTCCTCGGTGTAACTCTAAAATCTCGCTGCTATTGGTTCCATGACTTTGTCGAAACTCATAACAAAATGTACCGTTCAGGTTGGAAAACTAAAAACAATTTTAAATGTGGTTGTGAGCCAAAGTGTAGCCGAAAAGGAGACATTACGTCTGTGAATCAAAGGAATAAACAAACATGGTGTAAACTTCATCTAAAAAAAACTGAAATCTGAAGGAAAAAAATCATCCAGTGGTTTTGGTAGCACATGTGTGAAAAAAATTCGTAATAAGATCAATAATAGCCAAGCATTCACATCGTGAAAAAAAAATCATGCATTTTACAAGGAATTCGAAAAGTGATTAAAAACTGGAAAAACCCATGAACTAAAGTTTCATGAAACTTGTTGAAAAAAAAATTCCCTGACTTGGAGGCAAAAGAACTCTAAACTGATCAATGCCATTTGAGAAAATTCTCAAGGCATTTTATAAAATACAAAACAAGCAAAAGGCTAAGAAAAATTTAGCCATTTATTTTCCGAAAAGAAATAAAATTTTCGTAAATCCCTGACCACATTGATCAACTGTTCAGTTGTATAGATCAATAGTCCTACCAATCTGACATCATCATTTCAAAAACAAGCAAAAAGAAAATAGAGAAAAGAAGCAGAAATCAGGAGAAAGAACTAAAATGGAAAAAGAAGGAAGCCAAACTTTCCAATTTGCATTTGAAGAATGTTGATGTGCTTAACAAATGAGAACCATGCTGTTAGATTTCTCAGTGGACGATGCATCCAGGCCATTCACTCAAATGGATCGAGGGGGCACAACATTGTCCTGAAATTGTCCCTACTTGCAAAACAACAGTGGGAAAAGGGGGAGAAAAACCAGCAATTTACAAGTCGCAACAGAAATGACAAAACTGGAAAAAACATTCCAGATATCGAATGAGTTACTTGTACTTCTAAAAAGAGTGACGTTGTATGTTGTAAGCTCATGTAATGTGAGCCTTAGTCGTGTTACAGTCACTTAATGTTGTTTGAGCAAAATGCAGTTTAGAAAATGCAGAAAAAATTCTGTTCCAATTTGCCGCTGTCGCATGTCCAAATTGCTGATCACCTCAAAGCATTGACATAAAACTTCCCCAAGAAAAGGAAACAGTAAAGTCAAATTAAAAAAAAAAAAAACGGGGAAATTGGGAACATTGTGTGCCCCTTTACGACTGGGTGAATGGTCTGGATAAAATTTGGTCAAGCAGTCTGCCTGTCAGCGTCCTACACAGAAGCTGTGGCATCAGGCACGGGGGGGCCGTCCCGCAAACTCAGCTCCGTGGTAAGTTTAATTGAAGTTCGTAGTGTCAATTCATGCACTGATGTTGATATGGTTGTACAATCCTCTGACTTGTTAAACCCTAGTGTGTATCTCATGGCTAGGAGTAGGGCTGTAGTCTGTATATTAACTAGGCAGTAATGTGCAGATGGTCTTCGGTCTGAGGCAATACCACAAACTCGGGGAGAGGGGAGGGGTTGCTGAATTGATCTTTTGAATGTTAATCCACTCAGCGAAAATGTTTTATGCTTGTCGTGGTCATGGACTTCCAACTTTTTTTGATGTAAAAAGCAAGAGTAAAAATAGTGATGGACTAAAAGCTTGATTAAAAACTGCCACATCGAGCAGTGACAACAGATGTCGTTTGTCGGCAAATCCCATACTTTTAAAGCAAAGGTGAAGATTTGGATCTTTCTTGATAAGTTAAGCTTTCTAAACTTCTAAAGAGCGAAAAGCTCTCAAATGTGAGAATTGTGAACACGGATAAGAGTTGAAAAAGCTCAAAAGAAAGGAGTGAAGCGGTCACAATTAAATACCACGGAAAAATTCACGAGTGCATTATATTGTCACTTGGAAATTTTCTCCAGCGAATGTTGAGGTCAGCAAGAACTGCCCTACATTTGGGCTATTTATATGCAAAGCCACAAAGAACTCTTGCAATTAGAAAAAAATCACCGTCTTGCTTGTAGCCTGACCTTAAAATTGATTTGGCCAGCAAGAAATTTCAGCGAAAGTAAACCCCATCCCCTCTCCCCGCGTACAAAATAAGTTACACCACTGACTGATGATTCAAACTCCAGTCTGATTTTTTAAAATGGGAAAATCTGAAGTTGGAAATTAGGGCTTTTATTGGAAATTTTTTTGCTTTGAGGAGTCTCGACGGAGGCATTATTTAGCAGAATTTGGTCATTAAAATCAAGTTCAGATTCAAATTAATCGCAAGATTTGTAAAGAATCCAAAAAAACCCCATTTCTGAGCTTGCAGTTAAGCATTTCCTCCTGTGTGATCATTTTAGAGGCACAAGTTCACGCAAATGATTTCCTGCTTTAAAAAGCTACAAAAGGCATACCTCCTGTGCTTCATACACCCCTCAAAACATTGAGTGGACTCCCCCATTTGGAAGGAGGAAAAACTAAATGCAGTGGCTTGCACACTGAGGGAAAATTACTAGCAGCACAAAATGGCTGCAAATTCAAAACTGTGGAAGCAGATCCTGAATCTTTGACTAACACAGTTGCCTCTCGTTGCCACTTTCGATCATTCAAAAAGTTGAACTTGAGAAGTGCCAGATACAAAAACCTGCAGTCAATTGAAATCCCAAATCTGCAGGGAATAAAAAATCTTGAATCAATCTATCCAGAGTTAGCATTTTCTTTGGCAGATATTGAATATTAATTTCTTGAAGGTTGAAACAAACTTCGTCAACACTTTCTCTCTTGATTGAAACAAGAGTCAACACTTTCTCCCTCGTTATTTAGAAACACCTTTCCTGCAAACAATTTTGAGCTTACATGTGTTTGCATGCGAGAAATTCACTTTACTTTTTGTATGCCTCGATCGGGTGACTCACGGGTCAATTTTTATAGAAATTAAAAAACAAGAAAAAGCAAGGAAAAAACTTTGATGACATTGAATGGGTATTGCCTGAGACTGAAGACCATCATGCTCAAACGTTAAAGGCGCAAACAAGTTCGTGCATGTAGGCACGAAATACGCTCTAATAATTTGGTACTGAATGTGCACAGACTCATAGCGTCCGTACATGAGCGTCGGGCATTATCAGGTATGCATTCAAATATACCTAGTGGTCTCCCCTTCTTAGATTTCATAGAATTGAAATAGATAAACTCATGACAAATCTTATCATAACTATTAATTTGGTTGGACGCTGTAGATTCATTTCTCCAAAATGATGCATATTTTAAGCAATTGCCATTTATGCTAAGTGTTACACTCCTAGTGTAGATCAGTTGACGCTAGCTAGGAACTAGGAAATGTGCAGAAATCTACTCGTTGTTTAGCAGACGATCTGTGTGTCAACTAGTGAATGTTGGCCATTCTACACTCTGTTGAAATTTAAATGAATTTTGTTGTAAGGCTTACTCAAGTGAGGGATGATTTAACCTGAAGGTGGTAACATTACATTGCATGTATTAGTACATGTAGTAAGAGGCACATGCTACAAGCAGTTGGCGTATTCTGTCAAATGTGAATTCCAGTTTTAAAGTGTCAGCGGTAAAGGTCAAAGTTCATTGAGGTTTGATCACAGAGGCAGGCCCTGGGAAAACCAAATACATGTTTACATGTATTTGTAGTAGTTTGCATTATGACATGTACATGTCATGTACATGTGCATGTACATGTACATGTACACATGTAACAGTATTATCGTCAAATTTGATCTTCAAGCTCTAAAGCCTTGCCAATTTTGGAAAGCTTCTTTGTACTTGGGTAGTATGTACATGTACATGCTATGTACATGTACATGTACATGCTATGTACATGTGCATGTCATGTACATGTGCATGTACATGTACATGTACACATGTACATGTACACGTACATGTAGAAAACAAGTTATAGCCAGCCCAATCAAACAAAAATTTGCCTTGTCTTTGGCTTACATGAACACGATATACATGTACGTGTACATGTACATGTCATGTTTGTGTACATTACAATCAGTTCACGCAAACTCGGAGTTTCTGAGTGCAAAAGTAGTCTATTTCGTTTTATAAACAGCTACACAAACTGCCTAAATGCATTGCAGCTCCTTTCGGCTAATACATGTCACTTTGAGATCTGAATTGGATCATTGCAGTTCTAGTTGCAGATCATTGCAAAGTCTAAGCTATTTTGTCCGATTGACAGTCGTCAGGGGTTGATTTCTCAAGCAGATTATCTTTCAATAAAAGGAGCAGTGCATCTGTTGGCTATCAAAAGTAAAATACTGCTTTTTGGGGGGAAAAGGAAAATGCTGGAAATACAATGTGGTTGTTCTAAGGCTGTGACAAAATATCATGACCATTTATTATGTAGAAAGGAAAGTTATCAATATTGCGTGTTTAACATTCTGCGTGCTCTCGGCATTTATAAATGGAACACTAATCACGCTTGAAGCGTATTACTTATAAAACAAGATGGGAAATTTTGAGGGGCCAGATTTTTAGTCATTTTCACTGCACTGACAAACGCAAGACAATTATCTGACCCCTTTTAAAAACCGATCAGACGAATATCAAATTTGTATGGTGCAGAAATGAAGCAAGGAATCTCGGCAAAAACAAGTGTCGGTCCAGATTTTAAAACTCTTAATCATGGTGTTCAAATCTTGGAAAGTCACAGCCTTAGTTCATTCCAAACTCATCGAAAAATAGCCAGCAATTTTTGTAGGATTTTTTTGTACAATTCTTGTAGGATTTTCCCAGGGCCTGCTTAGGTTAGCGTAGGAGCATGTACATTACCTGCCTTATGCAGACAAGCCTACTCTACTAATGCCATGAGAATCGTTGGGTTTAGGGAGTAACATTGAGGATGTACGACCATGAATTGTACAGTGCATGATTTGATGAAAACTTCAATTAAACTGTATCACGGAGTAGGGGACAGGCTGACCCGTGCAGCATTGGATGGTCACAGTTTCTGTGGATGCTGACAGGCAGATTGCTACCACATCGTCCACTGAGTCACTGAGCAGTATGGTTCATCAGATGGGCACAGGGCGTTTGAAGGAAAAGAGGAAAAAGAAAATGTTTCCTTATATTTGACTTCAGTGAGAGAACTCGACTGAATAAAATTGTTGTGGCTTCTAAAACCAACATGACAGCGTACATGTACAAATATGTTATTATATCACCTACATGTACCAGTATACTGCATTCCTTGTATGTTTCTGCGAAAGTATTCAATAATGCGTCACGTTACTAGCTGCATCGCATCAGTGTTGACATATTTTCAGACAGATTTGATGATGGCACATAGGAACAAAATAAGCCCTTTCGTAAAACAAAAAGAATCCTCCAAAATTAAAGTTGTGGTAAATTAAGAAAGGCTTCAATATCAGGGTTGCAAACTTTTGAATTTACTCCTTAAATAACTCCTTATATGTTCTGGAAATCGTTACTGTTGAAACATTGTATAAAAGCCTTAACCAATGTACATCTGTACATGTACAAATGCACTTTTATAAACCTTCTGGAAATTTAATCCAAACAAATTGTCTAAATTTCTTTCGGACAAATTTCTCTAGATTAACTTAACTTTTCGACTTCTAAGTTTAAAAAGAAAATCATGCAACCTATACATGTGCTACTGGACCATTTATTTCCTTACCAACTTGCACCATTTTGAGTGAAAATGTCTTATTTACTAAAGACGTAAAAAGCCAGATATTTCAGAAGTATCCTCACTTGTTTCTCCTAAGAAAATATCGTCGTTAAGAAATTGCTCACAAAGAAAATTACAGTATTCTGTACATGCTCACGGCCAACAGAAATCCACTAAACTTTGCAAAGAAAATGTACTCTAACTTTACGCATTATTTGCAAATATTAAAACACAACAAGTTTTAGGAGAGTTTGACACTGTAAATAAACTGTTATGCTAAACATTGGATGCAACAACTTGTAGAGAGATTTAGGAGTTACAGTTTGGAAGTTATCGGTGTAAAAGACGTCAGAACAATTGGTCTTATCCTTCGACATGTACTAAATTATTGCGAATGCAATTAACAAAATGAAAACCATTAAAACTTACATTTGGCTGGATACAGAAAACATGATGCGACTTCAAAACGTTTGAAATGCAAGGCGGGACATTTGTGAACGGATGCAGAGGGGGTCTCGCTAAAATCTGCCGTTTCTGGAAGTGTTGGTTGCCACGGTAACCAAACGTGACTTCTGTACATTTGTAGAACGACTCTAACCGATCATTTGGAGTTTTCGAGGATCCTTACTCATGTTGCAAGTCCACTTGGGTCATCTGCGATTTACTTGGACGATAAGATTGGGGGCGTTTTTTGTACACATTGCCCATCGACGACTGATCACAAGTTGATGTAGATAGTCGGGTGACTGCTGGCCTGTTGGCGTCTGTGGGCGGGGAACACGCGTGCGCGCGCCGGGGAGGGGGGGACTGTGTGTAGTTGGGCTGCTTTTTTTTTGGCTGGAATACTTGACAATAAATAACAATAAATAACAATACGTACCAATACGTACCAATAGATGATGGTTTCTAGTACTCTTTATTCATGGGTATGCTCCTCCCCCTTATGTGCCAGCCTCCTCCCCCCCCCCCCCCACTACCTCCCCCCCCCCCCCCGATTCCCCCCCCCCCCCCGATTCCCCCCCCCCCCCCGATTCCCCCCCCCCCCCCGATTTCCCCCCCCCCCCCCAATTTCCCCCCCCCCCCCCCAACTTATACCTTATGAACACACACACTGCACCAGAAATTTGGAGTCCATTTTTTTTAAAGTTAGATTGAGGGCGCTATAACTTGTATAATTTTTGGGGGACATGTTTTACACAAGGATTTTTTCGCAATTGCATCAAAACTGCTAAGTGAAGATAGAGGGCGCTATTTGTTTTCGCTTTTCTCCAACAAGTTTTATGCACAGAATACATGTATTTTGCAATTGTGCCAAAATTTCTAAGTGAAAGAAAGTCCGATAGAGGACGATGCTGTAATTTTTGACAAGTTTTATGCAAGTTTTTTTCCAATTGTGCCAAAACTTGTAAGTGTAAAAATTTGTGTAAAAATTTCTAAGTGGAAGAAAGTCCGATAGAGGACGATGCTGTAATTTTTGGACAAGTTTTACGCAAGATTTTTTTGCAATTGTTCCAAAACTTCTAAGTTGGCTCATTAATTTGAGTCGCCTTTTTTGACAAGTTTCATGCACAGAATATTTTGCCATTGTGCCAAAATTTCAAAGTGGAAGGAAGTCCGATAGAGGACAACACTGTAAATTGTGATTAAGATTTTTGGACAACTTTTTACGCAAAGATTTTTATGCAATTGTGCCAAAACTTCTAAGTTTGTGCATTAATTCGCATCGTCTCTTTTTTTGACAAGTTTTATGTACAGAATAGGTAAAAGTTTACCACTGTGCCAGAACTTCTAGGAGATAAGTCAGATAATGGGCGCTATAACATGTATCTCTTATTTTGGTCAAGTTTTTAACGCATGGAAGCTTTAGCAAATGTAGCAAAATTTCTAAATGAACCAATATGCAGGGATGCCAGTGGGTTTAGCTACAGGGCCTGAACAAAATTGGACGTGGAAGACGGCAAGCACGCACAAAACTATTGCAATACTACTAAAACCACTGATCTCTATATAAATACTGGATAGCTAATAAAGAGCCGCACAATGTACGAATTTGACGCCATATTGGTGAGACCGGCTGGTGATCTACAAAGGACAAGTTGCCGTCTTTATAGACAGCTTGATTTCTTTTGTAACGTCGCGGCTCACTTGACTTATATTTTGGCCACCACCACTGACCAACTGACCAAGGTTTACTACAATTTTTGTAACGTAGTGGTTACTTTTATAATGCCGCAAATCACTTTTTCGGCATTTTTGAAATAATAATCACTACGGAAATGTGTCCCTTTTAGAACATCATAATATGTGTACGTGACCAAAATGCGCGTCAACTGTTGATACAACGCGCGCGTATTTACGCGTAGAACGTTCGTATTATACGCGGCCATCTTCGTGAGACCGGGGGCGAATTGGTCAATATGCAAAGTCTACTGTGTGAATGTTGTATGCATATCCGCTATCCAGTCTTTATATAGAGATCAGTGACTAGAACACATTGCAATACATGGATGTCTACTTTGAATTCACAATTCATTCATTCGTGTATCGAGCTAGCATGGCAATTGCCATGGAGCAATGCATGAACAACGTTTTTATTCCCGCGGCGGTGTGAAACACGCCTTGGGCTTGAGCTGCTTATGTTGCTTGGCGCACGGATAGAGGATCCGTGGTTGGTTGGTGGGTTGGTTGGTGGACACTTTACTCAGCCATTCATGCAACTTGATTATTACAGCTTTGCTTGTGTTTTGATAACACTGATGAGCATGCGTCTATGCATAATTTTGCATATATTAGATCACGCCACATTCGTTATCGTTGTGTACTCTTTGAGGTACCGTACGGCCCGGGTGCACGAACGGTGCCGTAAGCCTTCTTCACATGTTATCCGGTCACGCCGTGGGTTGTACAACTTGGTACTTGTTCTGTGCGTGCTACAAAATAACTTATTCTTTTAGACTTGTAAAGGGTTGGAATGTCTGAGTTTGTTTTTTCCCAAGACAAGAAAAATCATGAATTCAGGCTGTAGCATAACTGGCATCCCTGCTGTAAGTCACTGGTGCAGTGTGTGTGTTCAAAATCCCCAACAGAAACATTAGGAAAACAAATCTGCTGTCTATTTCAACATATTTTTCACTTAAAATAATGTTTTGAATTCCGCTGATTCACAATGCAGTGCGCCACCGCAAGTTTTGTGTGGAGAGTCAATATTTCAGCTTTACGGTCGACAAAACATGGCCCATTTGAACAAGTGTCGTTAGATAACTTGAGCTTATTTGTTTTAGATTAGGGCATAGCGTTCTGCTGCCCTCCAAAAAATATCATAACGATAAAAAGAAAAGGGCAAGTACATGTACTCGAGTACATGTACTCGACTCACACGGTTATGGAACTATTGACTAGAAAAATTAACAATTTCAAATGTCCCGCGCTGCGAATTTGTCGACCATCTCCCGCAATGCACTGGAAAAACTGAACTTTCCGTAGTAAACTCTTGGTGGCGCACTGCATTGTGAAATCGCCCGAATTAATTGCCTTGCCGAAGGTATGATTTATAGAGTCACGGCAAAATATTTTTCATGCAAAGTACCCGTACGTACATTGTACGTTATCAAATATTGCACTATAAGATGGAAATTGCATTGGGTGATGTAAATCAATATTAGGTTTTTGCCCTTCACCGACGTATAAACACTGTGTTACCTCACAAGTGTAAGATGGAAAAAATCACTCGGGTGGGACTCGAGCCCACGACCTCCGAGCTTGTAGGATCGGTTGGCTGGTTCGAATATTGCACTGTACGTTATGGGTCACACAGTTACGAATAAAGTTCTCAAGTTCATGAAAATAACCCACATTTCTGTTTTTAGCAAATAAGCAATAGCTGACGCATTTGGATTGCCGTTCAATATGTTGAAATAGACAGCAGATCAATAGAATAAACAAACACAACAACCTAAACATTTGCTTTAATTCAATCACAATGTGATCTACACCAGCACATCATATAAATACACTACATATTCAAGATCAACTTGAATAAATTGTTTCTTTTGAAAACTGCACTGTATTCGTAATCAAAGGCAAAACAGACAGCCCAATTCTATTGCTTGTAGTTTTGGAAAAGTCCAAAGAAATAAAGTTGCACCTGGTTCAGCTGCCAATAAATTTATAACTGTTGAAAAAAGGACATCACATCGACTTTATATACAGGACCTTGGACCTTGCAGCCCCCAAATTGATACGCTTAAACAAGGTATCAAAGAAAGATAGCTGTCAATACATCAAGCCCAACTTGAATCGACACCATGTCAAAAATTCATCAACTATTTTCATTTCGGTTCATGATGTAACTTTCAATATTTCAAGTTTGAAAGCTGTTTGTCAAAATGTTGCCAACAAAACTATACGGCACAATGACAGCAGGTGTTTAAAAAATCAACTTCGTCAAGGAATTCCAGGTCTGATGTTTTCCCACGATCCCATGCGTAAGTAAATCTTGATTGAAATACTGGTATTTGATACGCTACATTTCTGTTCAAACATTTATATGATGTGCTGGTGTAGATCTCAAAATTATTTCCGAATAATAGATGTACAATACTCAAAATGGAAAATCAAAACAACAAATGTACAACCAGGCACGTGTCACAATAGATTAACAACAATGCATCTTGGAAGCCTCTTCGCTGGCTCATGTTCCTTTGCTGGCACAGTTCTTTTTTGTCGACTTGGGGGGCGGAGTTTAAGGAACTAATCAAGTAAAATTGGGGGATGGGTTTCATCCCCCTCAGCCCCTCCTGCATCAGCCAATGCCTTCCTTGTAGTTGTTGGATTTTTGTGACACGTGCCTGGAATATTGTTTCAAGTGATTTGCATACTAAAGACATTTAAGCTCCTTAAATTCATTTAAGTTTTCAAGTTAGCAAATGATGAAGGCAAATCCATGGCATAATGTAAATAAAATTTAATAAATGTTATTTATATATTTTTTTTAACCACTGATATAGGTTATTTATTTCATACCTTAGTATGAACAAAAGCACCACGAATACAAAAGTATCCAGCATAATGTTTCAACTGCCCATGGCATGACCACATGTATTTCCTCACATCAGCATTTATTTTTGGCTAACAACTTATTGTTACTATTAATATTGTTCTCACTTATTATTTTTTATTTGGTTCAGCCGTTTGTTCATGTTCCATTAACATATGTCCATCATGTCTCAACAACCCAGATTTTTCGTCCTCAAACCTTCAAAAACAAAGGAAATACATTTTTCTCAGGTCTTATGAGAAACCGTACTGGTGACTTGGAAACTATTCAAGTCTTCCTAATGCCATGGATTTGCCATTTTTTTTAACCAGTTCACGCCGGGATTATTTTGACAGGAACGGAATGAGGCGCGGGATTACTTTTTACTCAACCTGAAACCAGGCCGGCTGAAGCCATCACCCTCGGGCAGCACATTTATTTTTCAGACCTCGCTCGCTGCGAGTGTGTCGCTGACAGATATTTCCTCTCCGGCGCAAACTGGTTAAAAAAAGTCTAATGAATGGTCTATCTTGAAGTTGTCCAGCCACGCATCTTGTCCGCAGATCAAAGTGTCCAACGACACGGTTGTCCTCAATGGCCCGTGATGTCACAACTTGGCAGTTCACGCATCTTGTCCACAGATCGAAGTGTCTAACAACACGGTTGTCCTCAATGGCCCATGATGTCACAGCTTGGCAGTTTAGATTCCTCGTCAATGCATGTTAAGGGAGAAAGAATTATAAAAAAAGAAGGATTAGCTTTGAATTCAGCTGTATCTGTAGCAGGCAGGGTACAGGATAG